CGCACACAACTGTAAACTGGTGTATTGGCTTAATACACCAGTTTACAGTTGTATCAGTGCGCATGCGCAGACAGTTGACCTCGGGTCATTGGCCCCAAAATTGGGGCCAATAACCTCTGACCTCTGGTATTTATGCGTAAATTAAAATTGCGCCCATGCAAATGATGATGTGCGCGCACAACGCAGCGCGCAGGCAGTGATGTCATCATTATTTGCATGGGCGCAATCTTAATTTACGCATAAATACATGACTCCTAGGTCATTAGCTTTGTTTAAAATGGCGCACACAACTGTAAACTGGTGTATTCTGGTAGGAGTTGACTTAAATATAGGGTAAAATACTTACCGGTAGCCAAAAATTTGAATTGAGTACCAGAATTGGCTAAGTATTTTATCTAAGCCAAATACTAAGTAAAAAGCTTAAATTTTGTACTTAAGTATTGAATTGAATATGAGCCTAGGGCGCACACCAGTACGTGTATGACTAGTGTCTCCTGAGGACTATGGAAAATACCTTCTTTGGAGGACACCCCCTTTGAGGGGATTTACATATAAATTATGAAATATCTCATCGTCTACGTTTTTGCTCGCAATATCTCTTGATAAATTAAGCTCACTATTTGATGGAGAGAGAGAAAAAAAAAATTAAACTGAGGTCGCTTTTGACTTGTTTACTGACATTTATATATATATCTGAGGATTTTATGAATACTGGTTTAATTGCCACCACCAACAACAATTACCGAACATCTGAGGATTATTGAATAAACGTATCAGAAATGATTATTGATTACACCATAATTTTGAATATATAGTAATTATCACTTTAAAAAAAAAAGGGCTTTATTCCTGTTTTAAGGTTTTACAAGTACACCACTTAGTTGGTCGAAATACTCTTCATAAAGTACAGACTGTGGCCTTTTTATGACCCCAAATTTTTCAACGCTATTTTGACGAGTTCCTAAAAATGGGTTCTAAATATACTGAATATATCCTGCAGCACATACATGTACGATACGAGGACAATGCATGCAGTGCAATCTTCTCCAAACGCACATTGAATCCTGCACCACATACAAAACTGTAATATACAAGGACACATGGGAACTTTCTTTTCCAAACATATTGTTTTTCGGTGTCACTGAGCAAATCTTGTAAGGTCCTATGAGATACATTTATCTTTTCAGAGTTACTTCTCAAAATAATGAAGTACATCGTCTTTTAAAAAATCTATGGTTTCCATGCTTAATAGGCTCACCTTGATTATGCTACATGATGTACTGTTTTATCCTCTTTTTTCTTCTCTTCCTTTTTTTTTAATTGTATTGTTCTTCCTTTTCCTTATTTCTAATTCTTATCCTTCAAGTTTTCTTTATTCTTCTTTTTCTTTTCTTAAGTTATCCTTTTTATTCTCTTCTTCCTTCTTTTAATCTTTCCTCATGCGTTCCTTCGTTATGTCATTTTTTTTAATGTCTTCTTTCATCTTCCTTAATTGTCTAAATAGTTATGCTTCTTTCAATGTTTAAAAGTGAGCAGAGAAGATGGAGAAAAAGAAAAAAAACTTCAAATTCGGCCACCCCTGGAAATACATAGAACACTGACTTACGTTTTCTGCTTCTATTGAAAGGGTGGACTTCCCTTTAACCCTAAAAGGGCCGGGCTATTTGAGGTCTTGATATGGCCGGGGGGGGGCATTATGCCCCCCCCCCCTAAGATCTCGGCCGTGAAACGTCCGATCGCCGCGAAAATTTGCACGCATGTCAAGTCAAGTGTATTGAATACTATGGTTAATTTAATTTTTTGCATATGTATGGTAATTTATGAAAATAAGGTCATAAAATTCACCTGTTTACCCATACATCATATATTATTTATATTTAAGTATTCTTTTTCACTACATGTATTCGTTAGACCATTTGAAACAATAATACGATAATGATAACAATTTTTGGAAGAGCTAGGTTATTCCTTATGTTATCTCTTATTTTGATAATTTCTTATGTATTTCATTGTTTTTTCAACTTCTGTATTTTATTTTATTCTTTTTATTTTTTATTTCTACTTACAATTCAACTATTTTGACTCCCAAAACAAACACCAAAACTTTAAACAAGACCCAATAACCAATGTTTTATCTCTTTTAGGAAAAAATGGCATTTCCATATATGTTTTGTACACAAACCACGAAAATCAATTTCGGGCTGACATGCAAAGACAAAAGGTCATGTGACTCTGTAACTGTACCCCCGATTTAAAAAAAAATTGTTTTAAAAGATGTGCAAGACTCGAAAGAAAAAAGTCAGCGAGCGGCGGGGCGCCATCCGTATGCGTTCCCGAACAATCAGAAAAATCGCGGAGGGGGGGGGGGGGGGGGCGTGCATAATGGTCCCCGGCCTTATTAAGGTTAAGTCCTATCCAAGATACTTGCTAATGAGGATATGAAAAGATACTCTCTGTTGGCCTCAAGATATGCAGCAACAACATATGATTGCAGAAAAAAGGCAAATGGATTAATTATATATTGCATCAAAGAATAGCATGTACACTATAGTGTATTATGTATAAAATGTAGTGTCCGTAACATCCTATAGGATTTTGTACATAAGTTATTTTGGACAACTTATGATATGAAACGAGCCTTCCTAGCAATTTGATTTGTTTTTATTTGTATACAGATGGGACTAAAGTTTGTAATTTGTCTCATTTACCAATGTTTGGTTGGCTTTTAAAAAGTTTCAGGTTTTGAAAAAATGTCATTTATCAGATTTGACCTTGTGTTACCTCTGATGTGCATACTGCGTCTAATTTATGGACTGAAGTGAGTGTGAATTGTTTTATTTTTCACAAATGGCCGAGAAATTCCCCCAAAAAGTGCAAAATATTTGAGTGTTAAGATAAATAATGCTTGAAAATTCCATTTTGGTAGCTTTGTGTAGTGTCCGTAACATCCCATAGGATTATGTACATCAGTTAGTTTGGACAACTTATGATATGAAACGAGCCTTCCTAGCAATTTGATTTGTTTTTATGTATACAGATGGGACTAAAGTTTGTAATTTGTCTCATTTATCAATGTTTGGTTGGCTTTTTAAAAAGTTTCAGGTTTTGAAAAAATATCATTTATCAGATTTGACCTTGTGTTACCTCTGATGTGTATACTGCGTCTATTTCATGGACTGAAGTGAGTGTGAATTGTTTTATTTTTCACAAATGGCCAAGAAATTCCCCAAAAAAGTGCAAAATATTTGAGTGTTAAGGTAATTAATGCTGAAAAATTCCATTTCTGTAGCTTTGTGTAGTGTCCGTAACACCTACCACCCCCTGTGGTGTTGATACTCATAAAATGATAACCAAGATAGTTTCCTCAAGGATATTGCAGGGTATTAACCCCAGGGTATGGATGAACAATTTGGCGTTGATGAAACTGCTCTATTGCATACTTTATTTTTGGACCCAAGTGCAAATGGTTTTGCACCCTGATTGTGGCTATACCGTATATAAAACATAAGGTATGCAAACAATATACAAAATATAGACACAAATGTATAATACATGAGTAAGAGTAAACTTATACGTTGGGCCATTGCGTGTATAAAGAAAGAAAGCAGAAGGTCGCCGTTATAAGCAAAAGCTTGAGTAGATGGTCATGCCGCCGTCATGTTTTCAAGTTCTGATGAGTTGCGTTTGCAAGATAGAGTTCAGTCTAGAAATCAGGGGTACTTTGTTTTTCGAAGAATTTTGAAAATATAAATGTAATGTACATCTCTATCAGTTATTTGGGGACTAAATAGATAATAAAAACAAACATGTCAAACGGCAAGCAAGACAATGAAGCATCTATTGTCATATAGCTTTTTATTAAATGAATTTTCTGTAAATATATTGAGTAAAAAGGTCGATAATAGGAAAGGGTAGAAGGTATAAACAGTTTTTCTTCAAGTGTATTTTACTTATTTACGTGTATTTTAATTTTTTTTTTTTTTTTTTTTTTGTGTGTCCATGGGTATTTTGTGTGTGTGTTAGCCATTTTCAATGGCAAAATGCCCATTCTGTCCTGTAAAGTATCCTACAAGCATCTCAAATTGGCAATTCGGGGATGTTCATTGGTTCATCGAACACAACAGTCGTAACGAAATCATGCATATTCAACTAATGATCCATAAAAAAAATTGATCCGCGTAACAGTCCGTGTTTATTTTTAAAAATACAACTTCTGTCAGTAAAATACAACTTTTGGGATTAAAGAAAACAGTTTTTGAACTCCACAGGTTGGCAGGTCTGACGCCTTAATTCTTGGCCTTTAAAATGCGGCCAAATTCAAAAAGTCTTTTAAAAAGCAATTAGAAAAGAAACGTCACTTTTTAAAGAAAGAGAAGATGAACTGTATCAAGATTACAAAACGTGTCATAAGGAAGTGAGAAAAACTATCAATAATAAATAGCCCTGTCTATTTCGTTTTCAAAATTATGGACCGTAAAAATCATGAACTTTTTACATTTTGATTCGGACATAATTACAAACCCTTTCTTAATTTCGCAATTTCAAATCCATTTCCAATTTCATAATGGGCCTTTTGGCTTTTTCTCATTTATTCATTCAAAATGGTTTACTCTAATACTTTCCTCGCGGCCGCAAGGCAGAATTGCGAAAGTTTACAAGATGGACATTTCAAGATGGGACATTGACAATAAAAATGCATTATTGAAGTACTATTAATAGAATAAAAGCAACCGCATAGAAAGAACAAGAAATAGGCATTAAAATTAATGAGACATGTTGAACTAAATAAGGTAAAATATGACGATAGAGGGAAAAGTAAATACACAACAAGGATGAAGGGGAGAGCGAGAGCGAGGAGAAACAAAAGGCGATGAAAAGAGATTTTTTTAAAAAGAGACATGAAGAGAGAAGAAAAAACATGAGTGTTGAGAGAGATTGAGATGGATAGATGAGAGAGAGAGAGATAGAGAAAGAGATAGTGAAAGAAGGAGACAGAGAGATAAAGAAAGAGAAATAGAGAAAAAAAGAGAGAAGGATAAAACAGAGAAAAGGAGAGGGAAAAAGAAGAGTTACAAAGGAGTGACAGGAATATACAGCAGATAGAAAGAAATAACTTAATCCTCGATATAAAGATAAAAGTCAGATCTTGATTTCTTAACGTTAAATGCACACAAAATTTAATCAACACGTATATGATTTCTGAAATGTGTGGATAAATATAGATAAAGATCTGTCATGAGGAATTTTCTTAAAAAGCAGCCTAGTGGATTATTTAAGTTTCATTCGATGGTCTGGTAGAATACAAACATTAATTGCACTGTTCATTGATCAAGTATTATTATGAGAATCATACGCCAACGGTATACCTTAAGCTTTGGTCACAACTCAGAGCGGCGATCGACCGATTAGTAGCCTGCTCGGTCGCCGCTGGTTATAGGCATCGCCCAACGATTTTTGGATAAGTCGAGCAGGCTGTAGAGCCTCAGCAATGCATGGGCGGTGCCCACTGTCGGTCGCCGGTCGTTTTTTAGGTAAAAACTGGGCGATATCGGGGAGCTTCTCCGTCCGGTGCTCCGGCAGTGACCGACTGATGACCCACTTCAGCAGCGACCGAGCAATGCCCTAAAAACAAGCGGTGCCTGGGCGAAATTGGCTAAAAATTCGCCGCCCGGCCGCCAAGCAGGCTGCATTTTGGGTTGTGACCATAGCTTTACCGCACCATGAATAAGACATAATTCGTCCCTGTTTTCACGAAGTGACGGTAGTGAGGAAAATCGCATATAATTTCACTTTTGATTTTTTTTGCATTTTTGGACATCATTCACTAACATCTTGAACCTCACAAAATTTCAGACCATAATAATATCTAATTATGTCACTATGACGATGACAGTAACAAGAAAATACCTAGCAAAAGGATTTTCTGTTTTCACGAAGTGACGGCCAAGTACGCGCTTAACAGCCGTCAATTCGTGAAAACATCGTTTGCTCTTTTCCTGCTTTTAATATTTTCACGAAGTGACGGTAGTTAAAATTCGCAGTTTGGAACAGTCACAGACCATGTAAAGGTGAGTTTTTAAATGTTTTTTAAAGGTAAATTAATGTGGTACACTCTTTTGATTCATTCTGATTCTTTGTAAGCCATAAATATGTCCATGCATGAGCACAGAAATGTGTGAAAAATACACCGCCGTTCCACATATTGCCCCATATACTTATTTTCATGTAAGTGAATAAAGGAGTGATGTATCATGTGATCCAAAACTAAAAAGATCAACTTATGTCTTAACAAATATACATCTAGACTAAATAACTTAAGTGGAGAGTCTTTCTTATTTAGCTCCACACCAAATATTAATGCTATAAGTTCTTTTTATATCTGCTTAAGTTATAAATTTGAACAAAGTTTTACAGAAAGTTGCATAGGCCTAGACTCTAGAGTAGAGTTTTACTTTTATTTTTTCAGTAATTTACTATTTAGCTTATTTGATTTAGAGTCTAGAACTCTAGTTACTCTAGATCATCATTTTATAATTATCAGTTTATGTCAGCCACTTCTCATCTATCTAGAATCTAGAGGTGAGTAGATCAGGATCTAGACCAGACTGAGACTTTTCTTGTAAGGCGTGCCTGGGGTTAAAGAGACTTCAGGGCTCCAAGCCCAAGGCCAACATCAAAATGGCCAAGGGCAAAGGTAGTTATGAAAATTATCATCATGCTGAGCTGAGATGACCTGGGATGTAGCTCCTCCTGGTTAACTGTTAGGGAATTAAATGATTTGCCTTACAAGCAAAGAAGGACATGAACGAACATTTAATTAAAAATTGGAAATTAGATACGGTCCTGCCCTGAAAATGAATAAATGGCACCATCCGAAAAAGGAATACTTTTGTTTTGAGACTGAAGTAATCATGAGTAGTCTACCTTTTGGGGAACTTTTGGGTCTACATGTTTAGCTTAGTTTCTCTCATTAGCTGTACTCTGTGTCTGTTATATTCAAAGGCAGCACTTTAGTACCCTTGGTCCCTCACCCTATACAAAAATTATTTTAAACAATTGTTCTTGATACCAGCAAATGTTGCCCAACTCCACTTCGTATTTTAAAGAATTTTCCAAGCAAGCACCATACCAGATGATGTACATGTCTCACTACCAGTACCTACACTTCAGTGGTATTGACATTATGATGTTTTTGCTTTCACTTAGTTTCAGATGCAGTAGATACAATTTGCACTTGTATGAAGGAAGCACTGGGAAAGTACATCTACTTTTCAAAAATGCCACTGGCCAGAAACAAATCCAGATGAGAATAGTTTCATGATCTGTTCAAGAAAATCACACTTTAGCAGCAAAGTACTAAGCACACTCACTGCGTATGTGCATTGGGGTGGTTGTTGTTTGGTAGGGACAATTGGAAAATTCTATTTTGGGGTAATAGGGGCAATTGAAAACTTCTGTTTGGGGTCAGTTATGCTTAGTAATTAATTTGATGTACAAAAGATAATTGGATTCATTTCCTTACCTCTGCTTGCAAATAAATGAAAGAAAATAACTTGTAATTATTTCTTTCATTCTACAAAATTAGATTGGATAAGGGGACCGACATGCTGGTAAGATGGGTCCTTGATAATTCACTGAACACAGAGCTGCAGATGTGATTTGGCATAGTGACCTAAGAGTGGGAGCGGTATGGAACCGTTGAAGCAATTCACCAAACACGTACAGTCAGAGCTGCATGTGTGACTTGGCATGGTGACCCTTAAAGTCTCCTGGCGGCTCCGATTGCGATTCTGATGATGGCCCATTGTCTATGCTTCTGAGCGAGTCAAAAGGTATCTTCTTTCATTCTTGATTGTTTCCCAATAGTTAAAATTTTATTGCTTTTAATGCTTAGGTCCCTTAGTTAAGGGAATGAGTGGTCCTATCGAGGTCAGCATCTAAGTTTTTTTTTAATCCTTAACAAAAATTGCCAATACTAAGGTGATACCAAATAAAGTATTTCATTCATTAAGAGCCTCTCTAAAAGTTGGTACCAAAACTAAACAAAATAATTTCGCCCAATCATAATGCTCTGTAAAGTTTCCCTTTCATAATTGAAATTCTGATAATGGTTTTCTATTGATTGTTCTTTCTCTTATTTCCTTTTGCTTTCACGCAGTCTAGATGAAGGATCTTCGCTGCTTCAACCACTATTGCTTGGATGACATACGTGTGAAGAAACTTGAAGAACTGTTGTTGAAGAGCATGCTTGAGAAACTAGAATCAATTACATGATCGTTTTGACAATGCTTCAATGTTTCAATACCTCAATCTCTCTTTTATACTGTTTGATTTTAAACATTTTAAATATCATAAACAAAGCAAACTCCACTCATAATTGTAATTGTGTGTAGTAATCACAATGAAATGGATTGATTATAAAATCAATGAATTGATTTAAAGCAAACTGGTAACATTGTCCATGATTTCTGAAACAATGAACTGAATAGTCGTACTGGGTCCCGTATTATAAAACAGTTACCGTAGCGGTAAGTGCTCATTTGAGCGGTAAGTCTTAAAAGCAGTGGTAACTTTAAGATAAACGGTAAATATCCATTGCATAAAAACTTAACGCTGGACTTGAGCGGTAAGTCTGTAAAGATCAGCGGTAACATTACCGCTACCCTCTGAGCTTGCGGTAACACTACCGTAACTATGGCTGCCATACTGGCTGTGTTGCAGCGTCGTGGATATGAAAGGGCGAGGAGGAGGGAGCGGATCTTCAGGGACCGCGGCCAGCTCTTGGAGTTAGGGGATGAAGAAATTTTTCGCAAGTACCGGTTTACACGGGATGGGTGTATTCATGTTATAAATTTGATTCGGCCCCTGTTGCAGCACGACACCAGACGGAATCAGGCACTTCCCCCAGAGCTGCAAGTTTTTATAGCTTTGAATTTTTATGCAACGGGGGCAGTGCTTGATTCCACGGCCACGATTCATGGCATCACCCGGGCAACAGCTTCCAGGGTAATTCACCGTGTGTCAGTGACCCTCGGCACACTGAAACATGAGGTAAGTCAATAATTTTTTTCTTTAATAAAGCAAAGAGAAGACGAAAATAAAGTCTGTCTAAAATTTGTATTTTGAATTTTCAATCAGCAAATTAATAAGACTAAGAGGATGAAAAAGAACTCTATTTTTGTCATGCATGATATGCATATACTCTATGCATTTTATAATGAACACATGGAAGACCTATTTCAGATAAATTTATATGTTTAATTAATCTTAGACGACCAAGCAATGACATGACATAGGTCTATGCAGCGGTCTGACAATTTAGTGGTTGCCATGGGACAGAGCCCGCGACTGTGCCGGCCGGGCGGGAGGCTGGGGCAGCGCTGGCGCGGTCGGTTAGTTGGCCGAGCCTAGCTGCCTGTCTACTACTGTCACTGCAGTCTCTGTGTAGTAGTCTGTAGACCTATAGTATCATTTTATTAGTGGTCATATAATCAAACAATAGCTACGTCTAATAAAGAATTCATAATAATAAAGACTTCTTTATCCAAACTTCCTTCCCCAAGTTAGCGAGAGTGCAAGTGCTAGATGCTAGCGCTAGCGCTAGTATATTACTATTTTGCACGTAGTCCTAGGTATATTGATTTGTGTAGAGTCGCCCATAAATTGGCGTGATATGATGCGAGCTTGATTGTATGAATCGTGTACCTATGACCCTTCATATAGGTATATATGTCAAAACAAATTTCTTACTGAATGATGATTGCATGATGAATGACTGTCATGACGAAAACAGCACCCTTTCTAATGCACAAAACGAGGAGTCTCTCATCACATTCACATGACCAGAGGCAGAGGCAAATGTTGCATGCACACATAATACGTACTCTAAATTGAATCAGCTGAGCCCAGAGTATGGAAAGCTATATGCCAATCGATAGATATTTTAACGTCTTCAATTTCCAATTTCATCATTTCCTCTTTTTGCACAGATATCAAATAGACTTAATGATAAATTTATATGCGCATACACAGCAGTAAAAAATACAACGTAATTAAACTACCGTCACTAAAAAAAAAACTCACAACAAAATGGTTTTAAAAAAATATAGTAAAACAATACTGCTATATATATAATAAAGAAAATGATAATAATAATGATTGATGAAAAGACAAAAAAAAAAAAAAACACACAACTGTCATGATTATATTAAGAGGAAGAACGTAGATTCAAACAAGATTCTCCCCGGAGAAGCATAAACTAATAAGTAAATAATAAATGAAAGGAGAAAAGAGAGAGAGAGAGAGAGAGAGAGCTATATAGAGGCCCGGGAAGAGAGAGACGAGGGGTATAGAAAGAAAAGAGATCAGTTTTTAAGAATAGATAGTTATAGGAATAGTTAGTTGCATCACCATTAATAGCATAACTATGAATATGTTCATGAATTCGAGTACAGCCAAAGAAAACTTGCACTCTCTCTCATAATTTTTTTTTTAATCACTTCACTATAGAACTTCTTCAGATATTTCACATACTTTTCTCAACACTTGATTGAAAGAAAGAAAGTTCATGTCCAATTCTCTGAATATTAAATGTATTTGTAGGAGATAAATATTTATTCATATAATTTACAATGTGATAAAGATTACATTTCTTGATATAACATCGTTTCTGTCTATAATAATAAATACTGGTGAATTTCAGCATAGCTGTATAAATATAATGACGATGAATAAAATATACGTCAAATTACATTTCAAAAGTTTGCATATGAATTAGACTTGTATTGTACATAACATATGAAGATCTGCAACATGGAATTATTGATTTTTGTTTTCTTTCTGCATCTCCAATTCACACTTCAGATAATCAAGTTTCCAACGACGATGGAAGAAGTCAACAGAGCCCAAGTGGATTTCTTCAACATATCAGGCTTTCCCCAGGTCATAGGAGTGGTCGACGGAACACACATTAGACTAAATGGAGCTCCCTTGGGCCCTGGTGAGCACGTCTATATGAACAGAAAAGGATATTACTCCATCAACACCCAAATAATTTGTGATACCAATTACAAGATCATAAACATTTTGGCACGCTGGCCAGGCAGCACTCATGACAGCAGGATATTTCAGGTAAATCCATAATATTTTGATTCTAAAATTTCCTATGAAACCCACTTTTGTTTTTAATGCCTCCATGAAAACATATATTGACATACATGTAAATCATTGAAATTGATGTCAAATGTTTGTTACAAATGCTACAAAATAATTGTGAAGCTAAGATCTTACAATTTTTAATAATTTTTCAAAATGTGTATATGCAAGAGAATGCAATAAATATCAAAGGTCAAGGGGCACCTATTCTACCATATTATGTTCATTCTTATAATAATTCTTCTTTTATACAGAACAGCAGAGTTGGACAGACTTTTGAAGATCTACAACAGCATGGTCTACTTCTTGGAGATTCTGGTTACGCTTTAAGACCATACCTGATGACACCAGTGCTAAATCCAAGGACTCCTGCAGAACAGGCTTACAATAGGTATGTACTACAAGAAACATTTCAATGCATATTTGTATCTACAATTAAAAAAGAAAGTGAATGAATGTATGCCATTTTAGACATCAAAGCAATACCATGATGTCAATTTGCCAATCACATCTCTTAATTAGCAGGATGAGTGTTCATGAATAACATTTGGCCCAGAAGAGCTACAGGTAAAAAAGAAAATTACTCATATATGTGACTTACTTCCTTTTGACAATGTATAGGTTAGATGTATAGCACTGTAGTTAGATGTACATGTATTTTCATAGTCTAATAGACTTCCCAATAATTCTTTGTTTTTAATTTGTTATACTTCAATACTTTCCTTTACTCTGCAGAGCACATGCTACAACGAGAGTAAAAATTGAACAAGTCAACGGCCAACTCAAGCACAAATTCAGGTGTCTATTAAATGGAATGCAAATGGCATCCAGAAGAGCGTGCAAGATCATCACTGCATGCGCCGTATTACACAATGTGGCTAAAGATTTGAAGCAGCCTGATGAAGTAGACTTTGGTATTGAACAACATGAACACGAACCAGACAGGGACCACATTGTAGACAACGGCTTAGCCATCAGAAACACTATTATTGCTAATTATTTCCACTAGATTTTTATGATGAAGACTTCTATATAATGTAACCAAGAATCTTTTTCAACATTCACTGTTTATCTATATTTTATATCATTCAAACATACTTATTTTTAGGGTGGACTTCCCCTGCTTTAAAACACCATTTTGGGTCATCTATAAGTTGACACATAAATTCTTTTTATTACTGCACTATTTAGTTGTGACAATATTGTTAAAATATACTTGTACTATATAACTCAAGTGGTAGTAATCTTCTGTTTGCATTGAGAATCTTAATCAATTCAGTACTGCATTCAACCGGGGGGGGGGGGGGGGGGATTAATTGCTAAGGTAGCACCAAGCCAAAATCCAAATTTCACAGAATCGCCGGGCTAGGGCATGTTCTGCTGACCTGCCAATAGTCATATTGTTTTATAAATTTGTATATGAATGTGAAATCATATTCAAGGCCCTCTTTCAATGAAGTGTGTAAGATATCCTTAAGATTGCCCTCATAACATTGTTATCTTTAGATGCAGTTAATTTACAGTATAATATATGGGAAGAGTTTATCTCCTGAATTTGGAATTTGTTCTATTCAGAAGCAGGCCACATATTTAATCCAAACCTGACTGGGGGGGGGGGGGGGGGGGGTGAGTCCCGTGGAACGCTCATGCATAGTCAATTCATTTTTAATAACGACATATTCATATTAGATTTCTGGGAAACCTAATTTCCTTAGTTCCAAAATGCACAATGATATAATCTTTTTGAATACTGAAAGGTAAAGTTATCATGAATAAGAACAAAATTAACATGGAATTTGCAAAACAAACAAAGTAACAATTTTAAACCTCTTTTTGATTAAAGACAAATAATTCGAAAACGTGAAGCGCACGCTTCATGACTAATAACTTTTCCTCCTCTATCTCCAAAAGTCTCTCTTCATAACAGCTGATTGGCTTTTTGGTGTCTTTGGCCGTGCTATCCCCTACTAGAACAGGCTGGTCTATTGGTGGTCCGGCACTGCTGGCTGCACTAGTACTGGTCTGTGGGTCCCGGGCCGGCACAGATATGCCACCCACCATGGTGTTTACCATCATGGCCACAGCCATGGCATTTTCTGCTGTCTGTATGCATATAACAATAAAGATTGCCTTGATTGAGTTTTAAAGAACTATAGAACCATACTGTCTAAATGTTGTTATTATTATTTTATTTATTAAAATTCTGTGATAAAAAGAGAACAATGTCAGTAAGGGTTTTATCTAATCATCAATATGTTTGAAAAAAAGGTTTAAAACACCCCCTTAAAAAAAATATTTAAAAAATGTAAGAAAAAAAATTTGTTGTACCGTACACCCATCAGTGAGGATTTTGTTTTTGTTAAACAAAAAAATTACCATATACCCGTATTGAAAATGCCTCACATAAAAATACATGCCACATTTGAATCTCATGTTCAATGGGATAAATTTTTCAAATAGAGTTAGGGGGGTAGGGTGGTCAACATAACATTGACACTTTGAAGGTCGTCAACTAAATTAAGTAATATAGTGGTAAGCATTTCAATACCATCTACAATTCAAGATAAACCCTGATTAGGCCTGGGTATTTTTGAAGTTCTCAGAGTTGGGGAAAGGGCTCCCCCGCCCCCTTCCCTGAGATTTTGGCCAGCGATGCAGACATATCATGCAAAGTGTTGAGGGGGGTGTGGGTACTGGTAGCCCCCCCCCCCCCCTTGGCTAAGTTAGGGTTAAACCAAAGATGTACATATTCACAAGTCACGCATCGCTATGTATATTTTTATGTTTGTTTGTTTGTACTCTTATACCCAGAGAGGGGGTCAATCAAATTCTACGAATTTTACCTGTGACATTTGGTTCGAAGGGAGAGCTAGGTATCCAGCCTCCTCTTCTGGCCCCAGAATGCCCTCGACACTCTCCTCCACCATTGCCTCCAGTACAGCCTCGTGTTTTTCATTGTATTCCACTGGTGGTCCACCTCCTAATGATCCAAAGTCAAAGAAATAAATGTTAACTTCTTACCATAAATTTTACGAAATGTTAATCGATCGTAATTTTGTTTTCCATAACAGTTAAAGAGAGATCTTGGATTAGGTCGTGATGGTTAATAACCTATACCAAATAAATATAAGTTGTGATTTGCGGTTTAGTGGTGGTTTTACCCGACTGCTAAAAAAGCACGAGTGCTTGTTATTAACCGACGACTTTAGGTCCTAATGGCACAGTCACACGGCCACTTACGGTAGCTGCGGATGCTTACGGATAAAAGTCCGTAAGCATCCGCAAGGATCCGTATCATCCGTAAGCATCCGTATCCATCCGTAATTCAATCCGCAGGATCCGCAGACATACGCAGATCCGCAGCGGAATTTTGAAAATCTCAAAATTTTGCTGCGGATGAAATATACGTAAGCATCCGCAGAATATACGTTATCCATACGTAAAATACGTAACTCATACGTAAGATACGTAAACTCATCCGCAGGATACGTTAGATACGTAACTGATCCGCACACTTTGTCGGGTGTGCGGATGCCTGCGGATACATAGGGGTACGTAAACACTATTACGTAGGAGTTACGTATGTTTAACGTATTTTTGACATATATATTGCGGATCTTACGATAGGACTTGCGGTAATTGCGTATGCTTGCGGATGGGATACGAATATTACGGATGGGATACGGATGTTACGGATTGGATATGTATGTTACGGTTGAGATACGGATAATATGCGGAATTTTTACCTATGTCTTCTTTCATTTCGGCGGATGTCGCCCATGCCAGGGATGGTCCCTCTTCTTCTACCTTTTGAGCCTCTTCCTCTGCCTGGGGAGGCTGTTGTGGCTGCTCACTCACTGGAGGATTCTTCCTGGTTTTTCTGCTACTTCTTCTGCCAGACATGATGCACACGAAAGTCCAAAAAGATGGAGAAGAAACTGTTGAATAACTGGAACTAGATCTCAGACTTGATGAAATGCGACTGAAGCAAGCTCCGATCCACGTGGGTTTATATGCGGATGGTGCGGACGCCAGAGGAAGCCGACATGCGCAGACACGGGCGTAACTTATCCGTATCGTCCGTAAGTCATCCGTATCGTCCGTAAGTCATCCGTAAAATCCGTAAGTCATCCGTAAGTCGTCAGTAACATGTGTCAGCGGGTTGGCAGCGGATGGGTTCATCCGCAGGTTTTACCCGTAAAATCCGTAATTCATACGTAACATCCGTAACTAATCCGTATCGTCCGCAGAATATAGGTAACTTTTGCTCAAATTTCCGTATTGGGGTTAAAAATTACGCATTTTCATTATCCAAATATACGCAGGCATCCGCAGGTCCGTAACATGGCCGTGTGACTGTAGCATTAGGGACCTTGGTAATGAGGAATAATGCCTTAATACCAAAGGGCACTAGTGCATCGACGACATGGTTTCGAACCTAGGTCACCGGATTATGAGACCACCAATCTACCAACTAAGTCTCCTAATAATAATAAACCCCTTTACTAATTCAATACTCTTCTTGACAGGCTACTCAGAGTATTCTTTATTGAAATAGGATATACCATGCAAGCACTGGTAACTATTAGTGATAAATTACATGTGATAGGAGTATACAAGAAAGGTACCTTTTACAGTTTTATCTGTTACACAATAAAGACAGCTTAATTTAACCGTCTTGTTTTTCGAGTCCCTGTACTTTCGAGCCTTTGCCGCCATTTCATTCCAGGTAAGACGTAAGTCCTTAACCGTTCTACCTGGTTGGAGTCCCTGGGCCTCTAGGGATACGAGCCCTAGGGCCCATGCATCTTCTTTTCGTTTTTTGATCTACAAAAAGTACAATGTAAATTGGAACCTACTCAAGTTCTCTTTAATTAAATGCAATAGATGATTAACATATTAATTCACCCTTACTTATTTTGAAAGAATACTCTCATATGATAGCATCCAACTGTCTCCAAAGACAGTGGACTGCATTCTGTCTTGGGCATCAGAAAAAATGAAAACCAAAACATCATTTTCGGTATACTTATTAGAAGAAAAGTTGAAAGAAGGAAAAATGAAAATAAGTTAGATAAAAAGACTCTTTATTCAAATTCGAAATTATAGATATGTTATGGAAATTTTCATAGATAGATCTGCATTGGATTTTACAAACCTTTCCACACAGTTCCCCGCTTTGCCAGGCAGCGGACATCCCGACCTGTCAAGTTCGGCCTGCGTTTCACCATTTCCTAGAATGAAGAAACAAAATTAAAAAACGAATGAGAAGCCAGAAAGATTGTTTAAAATGAGTTCTGTTAAATCAAATTTGACGGTATCAAACCCTTTTAAACACAAGATTGTTGTTTGGTTTTGTTACTCGATCTAGATCTAGACTCATGTAGTATCTCAATATTTCTACTAGTATAGGTCCAAAACCTGCCAATTAAATTACCACCATTTAACTTCTAAATATAGACTAGACTCTACATGTAGTTAATGCATTTTACAATATATTATTATTATTAATATTATTATAATTATTATTGTTATTGTCATCAATAATAATTATTATTATTATCAATTGAAAAATAAATTAAAGTTTAAGGGGTTGGCATTTACTAGACTACACAATACTCACAATAGACAATTACTAGGGCCTATAATACTAATAATAGTAAAAGATTTACTTTTTCAACCAATGTAGATCTGTATGAGTAGAAGCTAGTCTATGCTATACTTAACTACTTAATCATGTTAATATTATCGGGTTCTGTAAATCTACACTCTGATTATAGACCTTACTCAGTCCGACTCTTGAGTCTGAGAAATAAAAAATCCCCCCCCCCCGCACACTTACATCAGGGAGGGGCTTTTCCAACTCCCTGCTTACATGTAGTCGATCTAGATTATAGTTTATACAGCTCAGTATATCGTTATATTTCATGCCCCTGCCAATCGCCGGCCCAATCCCTCAGCTCTCACACTTGACATGCACACACTGTGACACTAGACATAGTCTAGGGTCTATACTATTTTAAGTAGTATCTGATTATAGATCTACTACTAGTCTGAAGCTGAATAGAGTTGAAATTCTAATTGAGAGTCTATATAATTATAGACTAGAAATTGGAATGAAGTTGAAATTCTAATCGACTTAACTTTAGACCTATCGAGAGTCTTAATTTTATCTAGATAGGTCTATTCTAATTGAGAGTCTAGTATTTTACATTTTAGAATGATATTATGAGGTAATTGCAAGTTGTTTACCCTTAAACAACTTTAAATCATCGGGTATTGTAGATAAACGAATGTTCAAAACACCACCCAATCTAGTCATGCTAGTAGTGGAATGTCAGATTATGCTACCCAGCTCCTCCGGGGAGCTCAGTACTCTAGTCCCCGCTGGCTTCTGAAAGCACGTACGGCTGCGGAGACTGACGTAAACATTACAATTAAACCCCAGTACGATGGCAAATACTGTCTGAGTAAAGGCTGCAAGTTTATTGCCAGTACTAATACATTTATCAATATGTATAGCAGAATGAATATGCTCTTTCGATTAACACATAAAAATGATTAAAGTCAAGAAATACGTACGATTGACGATAATTGTAGATTAGCAGCAGCCGTCTTCGGTGTTTATCTCAGTGGCTATATCTAGCAGACGACGGGTATTGCGCATGCGCTAAATTTTCTGGCTCGTCCAAGAAGACCATTCGCGGGTTTTTCTTATATTAGTTAATATCGGTTTTATGCAACGGATATTAAGCTCCGATGGTAGTTACCATTGATGGTAACTACCATAATAGTAACTCGGGGAGTTACTATTATGGTAAGTCAAAAGTTTTATAATACGGGGCCCAGGTGTCAGTTTTCTGTTACAGTATTGCAATGAACTCCTGCACACATAAATCTTTATTATTCAAATGTATAGCTCGGAACAGGTATTTATCAGGTATACCTACCTCAATCAGTAATGCATATTAGAGTTTTCGATGCCAGTTCCATGAATCCTCATATCGTATCTTTGTGTTGACAAATTTGTTTATCTATTTTCTTTAAATGTTTGTATTCACAGGGGTTAATGCCTTCATTAGAACATGAATATAAGTTACATTTCCACAATTGATTTTTCTTTCAAAACACAATGTTACTAGTTCACATTTAATGTTTTTATTTTTACTTCTATAGTCATTCTCATCATAATTGTATTTGGTACTTCAAACTATCTTATAATCATACAATATAATGTTGCTGTTTTGAATTTTATCTGTTTGATGAGAAATGAAATTGTTTAGTCAAATTGATATTTCCATGTTTATCATGCATTGTTCAGCTGATAATTGTTTAGTCAGAGATTACGTGTTTGCCTGGGTGAAGACAACCTTTTAGCATTGGTAAACTTTGTAGCGTTTGAGACTGTGTACTAAATTTTATTGAAATACCCTAGAAAGAGATTGTGTAAACTGACTTGCTTCTGAAACTCTACTCACAAGATATTTATGAAAAACAGTGATGAACAAAAAAGTAACGATGATGATTAGTCATATTTCCCATTGAAAAAACTGTGCCATCTTACAGATGTTGCATTTTTCCCCCTTTCAATTTTTCAGAGCGTATGAAGCACTCAACGTCAAGCATGAAAATCTGTCGCTGATTCAACCCCGATTCGTGGTGCCCCTGCCTCCTCTTCAACCAGCGGTAAGTCTACACCACCACCATAATTTAAAACCAGTCATCATGTGGTTTTAGCTGATGATGAGGGTGACATGGTTTTAGGTGATGTTGGTGGAGATGTGGTTTTAGCTGATGATGATGGAGGTGTGGTTTTAGCTGATGATGATGTGAAGGTGGTTTTAGCTGATGATGAGAGTGACATGGTTTTAGCTGATGATGAGAGTGACATGGTTTTAGGTGATGTTGATGGGGATGTGGTTTTAGCTGATGATGAGAGTGACATGGTTTTAGCTGATGATGATTGGATGTGGTTTTAGCTGATGATGAGAGTGACATGGTTTTAGGTGATGATGATGGGGATGTGGTTTTAGATGATGATGATGGGAGGTGGTTTTAGCTGATGAGAGTGACATGGTTTTAGGCGATGTTGATGGGGATGTGGTTTTAGCTGATGATGATTGGAGGTGGTTTTAGCTGATGATGAGAGTGACATGGTTTTAGCTGATGATGGGAGGTGGTTTTAGCTGATGATGAGAGTGACATAGTTTCTGGTGATGTTGAAGCGTATGTGGTTTTAGATGATGATGGGAGGTTGCTCTAGCTGATGATGATGTGGATGGGGTTTTAGCTGATGATGAGAGTGACATGGTTTTAGCTGATGATGATGGGGATGTGGTTTTAGCTGATGATGAGAGTGACATGGTTTTAGGTGATGTTGATGGGGATGTGGTTTTAGCTGATGATGATGGGATGTGGTTTTAGCTGATGATGAGAGCGAGGTGGTTTTAGCTGATGATGAGAGTGACATGGTTTTAGGTGATGTTGATGGGGATGTGGTTTTAGCTGATGATGATGGGATGTGGTTTTAGCTGATGATGAGAGCGAGGTGGTTTTAGCTGATGATGAGAGTGACATGGTTTTAGGTGATGTTGATGGAGATGTGGTTTTGGCTGATGATGATGGAGGTGTGGTTTTAGCTGATGATGATGTGAAGGTGGTTTTAGCTGATGATGAGAGTGACATGGTTTTAGCTGATGATGAGAGTGACATGGTTTTAGGTGATGTTGATGGGGATGTGGTTTTAGCTGATGATGATTGGATGTGGTTTTAGCTGATGATGAGAGTGACATGGTTTTAGGTGATGATGATGGGGATGTGGTTTTAGATGATGATGATGGGAGGTGGTTTTAGCTGATGATGAGAGTGACATGGTTTTAGTCGATGTTGATGGGGATGTGGTTTTAGCTGATGATGATTGGAGGTGGTTTTAGCTGATGATGAGAGTGACATGGTTTTAGCTGATGATGGGAGGTGGTTTTAGCTGATGATGAGAGTGACATGGTTTCTGGTGATGTTGAAGCGGATGTGGTTTTAGATGATGATAATGGGAGGTTGCTCTAGCTGATGATGATGTGGATGGGGTTTTAGCTGATGATGAGAGTGACATGGTTTTAGCTGATGATGATGGGGATGTGGTTTTAGCTGATGATGAGAGTGACATGGTTTTAGGTGATGTTGATGGGGATGTGGTTTTAGCTGATGATGATGGGATGTGGTTTTAGCTGATGATGAGAGCGAGGTGGTTTTAGCTGATGATGAGAGTGACATGGTTTTAGCTGATGTTGATGGGGATGTGGTTTTAGCCGATGATGATGTAGATGTGGTTTTAGCTGATGATGAGAGTGACATTGTTCTAGCTGATATTGATCGGGATGTGGTTTTAGCTGATGATGAGAGTTACATGTTTTTAGCTGATGATGTGGGGGATGTGGTTTTAGATGATGATGGTGGTGATGTTTTTTAATTGGTCCTACACGAAAAGGCCAAGGCCCGACATGTCAAAACTTCTGCTTTTGGGGGCTAATCACTACAGGAGGCTGCAACCCTTGCCCTCCTTTTAAATATAGCTTTTTCATCTTCAAAACAAAGTAGTACCCGGAAGAAAAATATGTGGTCCTTTGAAATGCTTACAGCTTTGAACAACCCAAAAAAAATTCTGCCCATGGTGTATAACCCGTTCATAAGTTCTTCTAAACACAACTATTATATCAATCTCTTTACCCGAAGGGCATACAAAACCATTCCATGTCATATCAGAACAAAGGCCTTTTTATGTAGACTCTTTCCCCCGCAGGTACTGAAGATCATCTGGAGTATTATGTTCATGAGTGTGGAGACATCTTAAACCATCAGCATGAAGCTACCGGCAGACTAAACAGACGCTAAACACATTATGGAGCATGTCTTTGCACAGGTGTCGGAATTCAAGAAACTCAACCAAGTAAGATCATGAACAGGGAAATTCCCTTTTTGATGAGATATGGGATCATATTGTGTGAGAGCAGTATACAATGTTGGTAGTTTTCATTTAAAGATGACATATTTCTTTCTTGAAATGTTCCTGAACTTTTACTCTGCACTTATTCTTATGCCTCCGCTTCAAAGTAGCCGGAGGCAGTATGTTTTCTGGTTGTCCGTCCGTCCGTATGTCCCGTTCTCGTGATCGCTTTGTCTCAAGAACCAATTAATGGATTACCGCCAAACTTTGGTCATGTATGTATCTTGCAGAGCTAATGAAGTGATTAGATTTTGGGGTCACGAGGTCAAAGGTCACAAGGCTTATTACGTATGTATAAATAGCTTGTGATTGCGTTATCTCAAGAACCGATTTATAGATTCCCGCCAAACTTGGGTTCATCTGTACTCACTTATCTTTTTGTTTCAATTTCAATTTCATTTTGTTCATGTTTCCAACAAAACATTACGAAGCAATTATAAGCATTTAAAACAAATGTAGAAATACATGTTGGAAACAGACAGGTCCACTTAAAAGCAATGCTTGTATATGTGTGAACATCCCATGAGATACTAAATTGTAAAGTGCAGTATGCTCAAAACACCCACGTTCACCACAGCATTTGGGAACAAGCTGTATGTTGCATGGAAATTGCAGCTTGTACCTACAGCTGATCTTTGTTATGTAATAGTATTTTTCACTGATAACATTCTTTATTATACTTCTGGGCTCCTATTCACTTTACTTTTCATGGTTTGTCTATTAGGAAAATAGTAAGATATTGAAATAAAGAGAGATGTAATATAATTTGTGTTCTCTTACTTTGTTCAGGCGACTGGAGTGCGTCTATACACAGGGAACGTTGGAGCAGATGATGTTGATGGTGTAGACATGGCTTACAGGGTAGTGGCTGATCATATTCGCACATTGACCATAGCTCTCTTGGACGGAAGCTGGCCAGATAATGTTGGAAGAGGGTGAGTCCTTTTGAATGGATTTTCTAGCCCTCATTTGATCCTATTACAGTCTAATGGTTGGCAATACCTTACATGCCATACATTAAAATTACCTAAAGTTTGGTTCTATTTAACAACACATGGGATACATAATACATGAGATGGAATTTAAAAAACCTTTTTAACACACATATTTATGCCTTAATAATAAGAATAATAATAATAATAATAATAATATTTTGATGTCTCTGCTACAGCCTAGCCGGAGGCATTATGTTTTCTGGTTGTCCGTCTGTCCGTACGTCTGTTCTTGTGATCACGTTATCTCAAGAACCGATTAATGGATTCCCGCCAAACTTTGGGCATGTATGTATCTTGCAGAGCCGATGAAGTGGTTAGATTTTGGGGTCACGAGGTCAATGGTCACATTGCTCATTATGTATGCAAAAACAGCTTGTGATCACACTATCACTAGAACCGATGGACGGATTAGCATCAAACTCTAAACTATGTATCTTGCAGAGCGGTCGGTCAAACAAAGAACTCGCGGTGCATAGCAGCCTACACTCTGTGTGCATACAATACATGACTGTGTTTGCAAGGTGTGATTGTATTATTTGCTTTCGCTATTATGAGAGAGAGAGAGAGAGAAGAAAAAGGAGGCAGTTTCAAACTTGAATAATAAATATCTTTGAGATGTGATTTTGTTCCACATACATTTGATCTTGAAACTGAGTACAAATTTGGACGTAGAAATGAAAGAAGTGATGAACTATTTTCCACCCGTTCGCACACCAGTCACCTCTGCTTGCAGAAGAACGTGTGTGCGCGTGCTTACCACGTGTACATGTACGTGTAGGCGCGATTCACATTTTCATAATGAAAACAAATTTACGGATTAAAAAAAGTTTGTGAAACGCCTCGATACAAACTATTTCAAGGCGGACGTGAAACGGCTAACGAGAAGCAAGCACAGTGAACACAGAATCAATGTTATTAACAAAAGTAACGAGAAATAATGATAATAAAGGTAATAATGGTGACACTATAAGTTCTTTGTATTGATAAAACAATATTTATTAAAAATGTCATCCGTTGACGGAGAACTAGAATAAGAGGGATGAATAATGATAAACAATTAATTTTGAGTGGAAAAAATGAAGAAAAACAATGAGCAAGGAAGAAGAATGTGTGAAGTAAAGATTGATAAATAATGATAGAGCAATGGAAAAAAGGAGTAATAAAAGTAATAATAAAAAACACTTATGATAGCAAGGAAAAAGAATAAGGATAATGATTAATTTTATTGTTTAAAATAAGATTAGAAATTAAAGATAAAGGTTAGTTCTGGTAATGCGATTGCATTGTGAAAGAAAAGGTGTGGAATGGATCAGAAACAGTTGATCATGTAGCATGTAATTATTGGTGTGCACTGCAAGGTTCTGGAGTCATCAAAATCATAATAAATTTGGCCGAGTCTTGGTAAAGTAACAAGCACTGTACACAGAAAGCTATATATGGGATATATTGGATAACACACATGGTGTCGGGGCTAGTTCTACCTTGATTTCCTTGTCTTTCTTTGCTCATTACTCAGCCAGTATACATTTTCTTCCAAAATTGTTTGGCACATGTCATTTATTTGTAATCTTGAACATTCAGTGTAAGTTTCGTTTGATTCTGTGAGAATTTTTTTTTTTTTTTTTACCAGAACTGGAGTTTATCTTTAAGTTTGATTATCATAAAATAAAAGTTAATAGTATTATAATTATGCCGGACCTTCGTTATTCAAGAAGCAATTATTATTATTAAAAAAAACATTTTAAAAATAAATTTTGTTATTACATTTACTTTTACTTTTTGTTTGTTTAATATTTATATATATTTTCTTTTTGTTCAAGTTGGTATGTTGTGTCTTTTTGCGTCGGTTTGACCTGTAGTCTAATAACACACGAGTCGCTATCTGCCGAGAGCTAGGACGGGGATTGTAGTTGAGCTTTTCCAAAGGGCCGTCGGAAAATATTGATCGAAAGTCTTCAAAACTCTTAAAAGCCTCGAGTTTTCGACGATCATAAATGCATAGTCTGCCATATTCTCTACTAGATAATTGAATTCATCATAGATCCCAAAGTCAGGAATATCGTCAAACATAAGGGAGGTTTGTAACTATAGTTCACTAAATGAAAATCCTGCCCGTTGTGATTAGCCCACACACACTCACGTCTACTGAGTGACACGGGCCCCGTAGGTCAGGGGCTATGGGCAGGCTAATGTACGCCACCACGGAAGCTAATTTAACGAGTCTTTTCTCGGGTGTATACCGTGGTCAAAACTCCTCTTTTTCTAAGAAAATATTGCAGCTGCCTGAAACTCAGCTTGTTGAATGGCAAGTTGCAAGACATTTCCGGCCAAAACGGAAATTTATATATATATAAACTCAGTTTTGATAGAAAGATATGAATGAAATTTAACAGCAAGAACCGACAGTCTAATACAAGATGCACAGATTCAATATAGCGGTACGGCAAAGCTTGACCGACCTAGTTACTACAGCAACCGCGCATTACGTAATCGCCGAAACTGGCCCATTGATTAGATTTTAGGGTCATGAGGTCAAAGGTCAAAAGTCATGGGGCCTATTATGTATTTTGGTTTGTAAAATCGCTCTGTGGCGGAGGCATTATTTTCGACTGCGCGCGGTCTAAGTTCCAGGCCTATATGATAGAATCCTATGAAAAGAGAAAGAGAGAGAGAGAGAGAAAGAAAGAAAAGAGTCCTCCAACTAAAAACAAAATAATAAATATAATGATAATGATATTAATTGTTTAAAAAAAAAAGAACAAGAAAAGAACAAAGAAAGGATCAAATGATCATGAGTCGTAGCAGTTAGTAGTCTATGAGCAAAGAATTAATTTGGGTATTGGATTCATGTCTGCAAAAGAGCATAGTGGACAGAGTGTTGGTCTTTGAAAGGATTAACCTTGGTTTAGTGCTTGTAAAAGGTATTCTTTTTAATTACTCAGTCTCTCAGATAGGACTTAAAGCTGTTGATTCCTCAGAGCTTCAGAGAATAATAATATACATACTTCATTAGCTAATCGTTACATGATCCAAGCTTGAATTATTAAGGCGTATACAGCTGAATTGGCAGTGACGTGAGGGCAATTGTTCTGATATGTTCATTTGATAGTTCTGTTGTGGGAAGAGCATTGTGTAGTAAAACTACCTTACATCAAATAATAAATCTGCTTACCGTAATATTCCAAATTGTAGAAGAATCTGAGTACAAATCAAATTTTGATTTGTATGATGAAATTGCATCTACAGATGTTGCATTTTTTCCCCTTTCAATTTTTCAGAGCGTATGAAGCACTCAACGTCAAGCATGAAAATCTGTCGCTGATTCAACCCCGATTCGTGGTGCCCCTGCCTCCTCTTCAACCAGCGGTAAGTCTACATCACCACCATAATTTGAAACCAGTCATCATGTGGTTTTAGCTGATGATGAGAGCGACATGGTTTTAGGTGATGTTGATGGAGATGTGGTTTAAGCTGATGATGATGGAGGTGTGGTTTTAGCTGATGATGATGTGAAGGTGGTTTTAGCTGATGATGAGAGTGACATGGTTTTAGCTGATGATGAGAGTGACATGGTTTTAGGCGATGTTGATGGGGATGTGGTTTTAGCTGATGATGATTGGATGTGGTTTTAGCTGATGATGAGAGTGACATGGTTTTAGGTGATGCTGATGGGGATGTGGTTTTAGATGATGATGATGTGAAGGTGGTTTTAGCTGATGATGAGAGTGACATGGTTTTAGCTGATGATGAGAGTGACATGGTTTTAGGTGATGTTGATGGAGATGCGGTTTTAGCTGATGATGATGGAGGTGTGGTTTTAGCTGATGATGATGTGAAGGTGGTTTTAGCTGATGATGAGAGTGACATGGTTTTAGGTGATGTTGATGGGGATGTGGTTTTAGCTGATGATGATTGGATGTGGTTTTAGCTGATGATGAGAGTGACATGGTTTAGGTGATGATGATGGGGATGTGGTTTTAGATGATGATGATGTGAAGGTGGTTTTAGCTGATGATGAGAGTGACATGGTTTTAGCTGATGATGAGAGTGACATGGTTTTAGGTGATGTTGATGGAGATGCGGTTTTAGCTGATGATGATGGAGGTGTGGTTTTAGCTGATGATGATGTGAAGGTGGTTTTAGCTGATGATGAGAGTGACATGGTTTTAGCTGATGATGAGAGTGACATGGTTTTAGGTGATGTTGATGGGGATGTGGTTTTAGCTGATGATGATTGGATGTGGTTTTAGCTGATGATGAGAGTGACATGGTTTTAGGTGATGATGATGGGGATGTGGTTTTAGATGATGATGATGGGAGGTGGTTTTAGCTGATGATGAGAGTGACATGGTTTTAGGCGATGTTGATGGGAATGTGGTTTTAGATGATGATGATGGGAGGTGGTTTTAGCTGATGATGAGAGTGACATGGTTTTAGCTGATGATGGGAGGTGGTTTTAGCTGATGATGAGAGTGACATGGTTTCAGGTGATGTTGATGCGGATGTGGTTTTAGATGATGATGATGGGAGGTTGCTCTAGCTGATGATGATGTGGATGGGGTTTTAGCTGATGATGAGAGTGACATGGTTTTAGCTGATGATGATGGGGATGTGGTTTTAGCTGATGATGAGAGTGACATGGTTTTAGGTGATGTTGATGGGGATGTGGTTTTAGCTGATGATGATGGGATGTGGTTTTAGCTGATGATGAGAGCGAGGTGGTTTTAGCTGATGATGAGAGTGACATGGTTTTAGCTGATGTTGATGGGGATGTGGTTTTAGCTGATGATGATGGGAGGTGGTTTTAGCCGATGATGATGTAGATGTGGTTTTAGCTGATGATGAGAGTGACATGGTTCTAGCTGATATTGATCGGGATGTGGTTTTAGCTGATGATGAGAGTTACATGTTTTTAGCTGATGATGTGGGGGATTTGGTTTTAGATGATGGTGGTGATGTTTTTTAATTGGTCCTACACGAAAAGGCCAAGGCCCGACATGTCAAAACTTCTGCTTTTGGGGGCTAATCACTCCAGGAGGCTGCAACCCTTGCCCTCCTTTTAAATATAGCTTTTTCATCTTCAAAACAAAGTAGTACCCGGAAGAAAAATATCTGGTCCTTTGAAATGCTTACAGCTTTGAACAACCCAAAAAAAATTCTGCCCATGGTGTATAACCCGTTCATAAGTTCTTCTAAACACAACTATTATATCAATCTCTTTACCCGAAGGGCATACAAAACCATTCCATGTCATATCAGAACAAAGGCCTTTTTATGTAGACTCTTTCCCCCGCAGGTACTGAAGATCATCTGGAGTATTATGTTCATGAGTGTGGAGACATCTTAAACCATCAGCATGAAGCTACCGGCACACTCAACAGACGCTAAACACATTATGGAGCATGTCTTTGCACAGGTGTCGGAATTCAAGAAACTCAACCAAGTAAGATCATGAACAGGGAAATTCCCTTTTTGATGAGATATGGGATCATATTGTGTGAGAGCAGTATACCATGTTGGTAGTTTTCATTTAAAGATGACATATTTCTTTCTTGAAATGTTCCTGAACTTTCACTCTGCACTTATTCTTATGCCTCCGCTACAAAGTAGCCGGAGGCAGTATGTTTTCTGGTTGTCCGTCCATCCGAACGTCCCGTTCTCGTGATCGCTTTATCTCAAGAACCAATTATTGGATTACCACCAAACTTTGGTCATGTATGTATTTTGCAGAGCTAATGAAGTGATTAGATTTTGGGGTGACGAGGTCAAAGGTCACAGGGCTTATTACGTATGTATAAATAGCTTGTGATTGCGTTATCTCAAGAACCGATTAATAGATTCCCGCCAAACTTGGGTTCATCTGTACTCACTTATCTTTTTGTTTCAATTTCAATTTCATTTTGTTCATGTTTCCAACAAAACATTACGAAGCAATTATAAGCATTTAAAACAAATGTAGAAATACAATGCTTGTATATGTGTGAACACCTCATGAGATACTAAATTGAAAAGTGCAGTATGCTCAAAACACCCACGTTCACCACAGCATTTGGGAACAAGCTGTATGTTGCATGGAAATTGCAGCTTGTACCTACAGCTGATCTTTGTTATGTAATAGTATTTTTCACTGATAACATTCTTTATTACACTTCTGGGCTCCTATTCACTTTACTTTTCATGGTTTGTCTATTAGGAAAATAGTAAGATATTGAAATAAAGAGAGATGTAATATAATTTGTGTTCTCTTACTTTGTTCAGGCGACTGGAGTGCGTCTATACACAGGGAACGTTGGAGCAGATGATGTTGATGGTGTAGACATGGCTTACAGGGTAGTGGCTGATCATATTCGCACATTGACCATAGCTCTCTTGGACGGAAGCTGGCCAGATAATGTTGGAAGAGGGTGAGTCCTTTTGAATGGATTTTCTAGCCCTCATTTGATCCTATTACAGTCTAATGGTTGGCAATACCTTACATGCCATACATTAAAATTACCTAAAGTTTGGTTCTATTTAACAACACATGGGATACATAATACATGAGATGGAATTTAAAAAACCTTGTTAACACACATATTTATGCCTTAATAATAAGAATAATAATAATAATAATAATATTTTGATGTCTCTGCTACAGCCTAGCCGGAGGCATTATGTTTTCTGGTTGTCCGTCTGTCCGTACGTCTGTTCTTGTGATCACGTTATCTCAAGAACCGATTAATGGATTCCCGCCAAACTTTGGGCATGTATGTATCTTGCAGAGCCGATGAAGTGATTAGATTTTGGGGTCACAAGGTCAATGGTCACATTGCTCATTATGTATGCAAAAACAGCTTGTGATCACACTATCACTAGAACCGATGGACGGATTAGCATCAAACTCTAAACTATGTATCTTGCAGAGCGGTCGGTCAAACAAAGAACTCGCGGTGCATAGCAGCCTACACTCTGTGTGCATACAATACATGACTGTGTTTGCAAGGTGTGATTGTATTATTTGCTTTCGCTATTATGAGAGAGAGAGAGAGAGAAGAAAAAGGAGGCAGTTTCAAACTTGAATAATAAATATCTTTGAGATGAGATTTTGTTCCACATACATTTGATCTTGAAACTGAGTACAAATTTGGACGTAGAAATGAAAGAAGTGATGAACTATTTTCCACCCGTTCGCACACCAGTCACCTCTGCTTGCAGAAGAACGTGTGTGCGCGTGCTTACCACGTGTACATGTACGTGTAGGCGCGATTCACATTTTCATAATGAAAACAAATTTACGGATTAAAAAAATTTTGTGAAACGCCTCGATACAAACTATTTCAAGGCAGACGTGAAACGGCTAACGAGAAGCAAGCACAGTGAACACAGAATCAATGTTATTAACAAAAGTAACGAGAAATAATGATAATAAAGGTAATAATGGTGACACTATAAGTTCTTTGTATTGATAAAACAATATTTATTAAAAATGTCATCCGTTGACGGAGAACTAGAATAAGAGGGATGAATAATGATAAACAATTAATTTTGAGTGGAAAAAATGAAGAAAAACAATGAGCAAGGAAGAAGAATGTGTGAAGTAAAGATTGATAAATAATGATAGAGCAATGGAAAAAAGGAGTAATAAAAGTAATAATAAAAAACACTTATGATAGCAAGGAAAAAGAATAAGGATAATGATTAATTTTATTGTTTAAAATAAGATTAGAAATTAAAGATAAAGGTTAGTTCTGGTAATGCGATTGCATTGTGAAAGAAAAGGTGTGGAATGGATCAGAAACAGTTGATCATGTAGCATGTAATTATTGGTGTGCACTGCAAGGTTCTGGAGTCATCAAAATCATAATAAATTTGGCCGAGTCTTGGTAAAGTAACAAGCACTGTACACAGAAAGCTATATATGGGATATATTGGATAACACACATGGTGTCGGGGCTAGTTCTACCTTGATTTCCTTGTCTTTCTTTGCTCATTACTCAGCCAGTATACATTTTCTTCCAAAATTGTTTGGCACATGTCATTTATTTGTAATCTTGAACATTCAGTGTAAGTTTCGTTTGATTCTGTGAGAATTTTTTTTTTTTTTTTTACCAGAACTGGAGTTTATCTTTAAGTTTGATTATCATAAAATAAAAGTTAATAGTATTATAATTATGCCGGACCTTCGTTATTCAAGAAGCAATTATTATTATTAAAAAAAACATTTTAAAAATAAATTTTGTTATTACATTTACTTTTACTTTTTGTTTGTTTAATATTTATATATATTTTCTTTTTGTTCAAGTTGGTATGTTGTGTCTTTTTGCGTCGGTTTGACCTGTAGTCTAATAACACACGAGTCGCTATCTGCCGAGAGCTAGGACGGGGATTGTAGTTGAGCTTTTCCAAAGGGCCGTCGGAAAATATTGATCGAAAGTCTTCAAAACTCTTAAAAGCCTCGAGTTTTCGACGATCATAAATGCATAGTCTGCCATATTCTCTACTAGATAATTGAATTCATCATAGATCCCAAAGTCAGGAATATCGTCAAACATAAGGGAGGTTTGTAACTATAGTTCACTAAATGAAAATCCTGCCCGTTGTGATTAGCCCACACACACTCACGTCTACTGAGTGACACGGGCCCCGTAGGTCAGGGGCTATGGGCAGGCTAATGTACGCCACCACGGAAGCTAATTTAACGAGTCTTTTCTCGGGTGTATACCGTGGTCAAAACTCCTCTTTTTCTAAGAAAATATTGCAGCTGCCTGAAACTCAGCTTGTTGAATGGCAAGTTGCAAGACATTTCCGGCCAAAACGGAAATTTATATATATATAAACTCAGTTTTGATAGAAAGATATGAATGAAATTTAACAGCAAGAACCGACAGTCTAATACAAGATGCACAGATTCAATATAGCGGTACGGCAAAGCTTGACCGACCTAGTTACTACAGCAACCGCGCATTACGTAATCGCCGAAACTGGCCCATTGATTAGATTTTAGGGTCATGAGGTCAAAGGTCAAAAGTCATGGGGCCTATTATGTATTTTGGTTTGTAAAATCGCTCTGTGGCGGAGGCATTATTTTCGACTGCGCGCGGTCTAAGTTCCAGGCCTATATGATAGAATCCTATGAAAAGAGAAAGAGAGAGAGAGAGAGAAAGAAAGAAAAGAGTCCTCCAACTAAAAACAAAATAATAAATATAATGATGATGATATTAATTGTTTAAAAAAAAAGAACAAGAAAAGAACAAAGAAAGGATCAAATGATCATGAGTCGTAGCAGTTAGTAGTCTATGAGCAAAGAATTAATTTGGGTATTGGATTCATGTCTGCAAAAGAGCATAGTGGACAGAGTGTTGGTCTTTGAAAGGATTAACCTTGGTTTAGTGCTTGTAAAAGGTATTCTTTTTAATTACTCAGTCTCTCAGATAGGACTTAAAGCTGTTGATTCCTCAGAGCTTCAGAGAATAATAATATACATACTTCATTAGCTAATCGTTACATGATCCAAGCTTGAATTATTAAGGCGTATACAGCTGAATTGGCAGTGACGTGAGGGCAATTGTTCTGATATGTTCATTTGATAGTTCTGTTGTGGGAAGAGCATTGTGTAGTAAAACTACCTTACATCAAATAATAAATCTGCTTACCGTAATATTCCAAATTGTAGAAGAATCTGAGTACAAATCAAATTTTGATTTGTATGATGAAATTGCATCTACAGATGTTGCATTTTTTCCCCTTTCAATTTTTCAGAGCGTATGAAGCACTCAACGTCAAGCATGAAAATCTGTCGCTGATTCAACCCCGATTCGTGGTGCCCCTGCCTCCTCTTCAACCAGCGGTAAGTCTACATCACCACCATAATTTGAAACCAGTCATCATGTGGTTTTAGCTGATGATGAGAGCGACATGGTTTTAGGTGATGTTGATGGAGATGTGGTTTAAGCTGATGATGATGGAGGTGTGGTTTTAGCTGATGATGATGTGAAGGTGGTTTTAGCTGATGATGAGAGTGACATGGTTTTAGCTGATGATGAGAGTGACATGGTTTTAGGCGATGTTGATGGGGATGTGGTTTTAGCTGATGATGATTGGATGTGGTTTTAGCTGATGATGAGAGTGACATGGTTTTAGGTGATGATGATGGGGATGTGGTTTTAGATGATGATGATGGGAGGTGGTTTTAGCTGATGAGAGTGACATGGTTTTAGGCGATGTTGATGGGGATGTGGTTTTAGCTGATGATGAGAGTGACATGATTTTAGCTGATGATGATTGGATGTGGTTTTAGCTGATGATGAGAGTGACATGGTTTTAGGTGATGCTGATGGGGATGTGGTTTTAGATGATGATGATGTGAAGGTGGTTTTAGCTGATGATGAGAGTGACATGGTTTTAGCTGATGATGAGAGTGACATGGTTTTAGGTGATGTTGATGGGGATGCGGTTTTAGCTGATGATGATGGAGGTGTGGTTTTAGCTGATGATGATGTGAAGGTGGTTTTAGCTGATGATGAGAGTGACATGGTTTTAGGTGATGTTGATGGGGATGTGGTTTTAGCTGATGATGATTGGATGTGGTTTTAGCTGATGATGAGAGTGACATGGTTTAGGTGATGATGATGGGGATGTGGTTTTAGATGATGATGATGTGAAGGTGGTTTTAGCTGATGATGAGAGTGACATGGTTTTAGCTGATGATGAGAGTGACATGGTTTTAGGTGATGTTGATGGAGATGCGGTTTTAGCTGATGATGATGGAGGTGTGGTTTTAGCTGATGATGATGTGAAGGTGGTTTTAGCTGATGATGAGAGTGACATGGTTTTAGCTGATGATGAGAGTGACATGGTTTTAGGTGATGTTGATGGGGATGTGGTTTTAGCTGATGATGATTGGATGTGGTTTTAGCTGATGATGAGAGTGACATGGTTTTAGGTGATGATGATGGGGATGTGGTTTTAGATGATGATGATGGGAGGTGGTTTTAGCTGATGATGAGAGTGACATGGTTTTAGGCGATGTTGATGGGGATGTGGTTTTAGATGATGATGATGGGAGGTGGTTTTAGCTGATGATGAGAGTGACATGGTTTTAGCTGATGATGGGAGGTGGTTTTAGCTGATGATGAGAGTGACATGGTTTCAGGTGATGTTGATGCGGATGTGGTTTTAGATGATGATGATGGGAGGTTGCTCTAGCTGATGATGATGTGGATGGGGTTTTAGCTGATGATGAGAGTGACATGGTTTTAGCTGATGTTGATGGGGATGTGGTTTTAGCTGATGATGATGGGAGGTGGTTTTAGCCGATGATGATGTAGATGTGGTTTTAGCTGATGATGAGAGTGACATGGTTCTAGCTGATATTGATCGGGATGTGGTTTTAGCTGATGATGAGAGTTACATGTTTTTAGCTGATGATGTGGGGGATTTGGTTTTAGATGATGGTGGTGATGTTTTTTAATTGGTCCTACACGAAAAGGCCAAGGCCCGACATGTCAAAACTTCTGCTTTTGGGGGCTAATCACTACAGGAGGCTGCAACCCTTGCCCTCCTTTTAAATATAGCTTTTTCATCTTCAAAACAAAGTAGTACCCGGAAGAAAAATATCTGGTCCTTTGAAATGCTTACAGCTTTGAACAACCCAAAAAAAATTCTGCCCATGGTGTATAACCCGTTCATAAGTTCTTCTAAACACAACTATTATATCAATCTCTTTACCCGAAGGGCATACAAAACCATTCCATGTCATATCAGAACAAAGGCCTTTTTATGTAGACTCTTTCCCCCGCAGGTACTGAAGATCATCTGGAGTATTATGTTCATGAGTGTGGAGACATCTTAAACCATCAGCATGAAGCTACCGGCAGACTCAACAGACGCTAAACACATTATGGAGCATGTCTTTGCACAGGTGTCGGAATTCAAGAAACTCAACCAAGTAAGATCATGAACAGGAAAATTCCCTTTTTGATGAGATATGGGATCATATTGTGTGAGAGCAGTATACCATGTTGGTAGTTTTCATTTAAAGATGACATATTTCTTTCTTGAAATGTTCCTGAACTTTCACTCTGCACTTATTCTTATGCCTCCGCTACAAAGTAGCCGGAGGCAGTATGTTTTCTGGTTGTCCGTCCATCCGAACGTCCCGTTCTCGTGATCGCTTTATCTCAAGAACCAATTATTGGATTACCACCAAACTTTGGTCATGTATGTATTTTGCAGAGCTAATGAAGTGAATAGATTTTGGGGTGACGAGGTCAAAGGTCACAGGGCTTATTACGTATGTATAAATAGCTTGTGATTGCGTTATCTCAAGAACCGATTAATAGATTCCCGCCAAACTTGGGTTCATCTGTACTCACTTATCTTTTTGTTTCAATTTCAATTTCATTTTGTTCATGTTTCCAACAAAACATTACGAAGCAATTATAAGCATTTAAAACAAATGTAGAAATACAATGCTTGTATATGTGTGAACACCTCATGAGATACTAAATTGAAAAGTGCAGTATGCTCAAAACACCCACGTTCACCACAGCATTTGGGAACAAGCTGTATGTTGCATGGAAATTGCAGCTTGTACCTACAGCTGATCTTTGTTATGTAATAGTATTTTTCACTGATAACATTCTTTATTACACTTCTGGGCTCCTATTCACTTTACTTTTCATGGTTTGTCTATTAGGAAAATAGTAAGATATTGAAATAAAGAGAGATGTAATATAATTTGTGTTCTCTTACTTTGTTCAGGCGACTGGAGTGCGTCTATACACAGGGAACGTTGGAGCAGATGATGTTGATGGTGTAGACATGGCTTACAGGGTAGTGGCTGATCATATTCGCACATTGACCATAGCTCTCTTGGACGGAAGCTGGCCAGATAATGTTGGAAGAGGGTGAGTCCTTTTGAATGGATTTTCTAGCCCTCATTTGATCCTATTACAGTCTAATGGTTGGCAATACCTTACATGCCATACATTAAAATTACCTAAAGTTTGGTTCTATTTAACAACACATGGGATACATAATACATGAGATGGAATTTAAAAAACCTTGTTAACACACATATTTATGCCTTAATAATAAGAATAATAATAATAATAATAATATTTTGATGTCTCTGCTACAGCCTAGCCGGAGGCATTATGTTTTCTGGTTGTCCGTCTGTCCGTACGTCTGTTCTTGTGATCACGTTATCTCAAGAACCGATTAATGGATTCCCGCCAAACTTTGGGCATGTATGTATCTTGCAGAGCCGATGAAGTGATTAGATTTTGGGGTCACAAGGTCAATGGTCACATTGCTCATTATGTATGCAAAAACAGCTTGTGATCACACTATCACTAGAACCGATGGACGGATTAGCATCAAACTCTAAACTATGTATCTTGCAGAGCGGTCGGTCAAACAAAGAACTCGCGGTGCATAGCAGCCTACACTCTGTGTGCATACAATACATGACTGTGTTTGCAAGGTGTGATTGTATTATTTGCTTTCGCTATTATGAGAGAGAGAGAGAGAGAAGAAAAAGGAGGCAGTTTCAAACTTGAATAATAAATATCTTTGAGATGAGATTTTGTTCCACATACATTTGATCTTGAAACTGAGTACAAATTTGGACGTAGAAATGAAAGAAGTGATGAACTATTTTCCACCCGTTCGCACACCAGTCACCTCTGCTTGCAGAAGAACGTGTGTGCGCGTGCTTACCACGTGTACATGTACGTGTAGGCGCGATTCACATTTTCATAATGAAAACAAATTTACGGATTAAAAAAAGTTTGTGAAACGCCTCGATACAAACTATTTCAAGGCGGACGTGAAACGGCTAACGAGAAGCAAGCACAGTGAACACAGAATCAATGTTATTAACAAAAGTAACGAGAAATAATGATAATAAAGGTAATAATGGTGACACTATAAGTTCTTTGTATTGATAAAACAATATTTATTAAAAATGTCATCCGTTGACGGAGAACTAGAATAAGAGGGATGAATAATGATAAACAATTAATTTTGAGTGGAAAAAATGAAGAAAAACAATGAGCAAGGAAGAAGAATGTGTGAAGTAAAGATTGATAAATAATGATAGAGCAATGGAAAAAAGGAGTAATAAAAGTAATAATAAAAAACACTTATGATAGCAAGGAAAAAGAATAAGGATAATGATTAATTTTATTGTTTAAAATAAGATTAGAAATTAAAGATAAAGGTTAGTTCTGGTAATGCGATTGCATTGTGAAAGAAAAGGTGTGGAATGGATCAGAAACAGTTGATCATGTAGCATGTAATTATTGGTGTGCACTGCAAGGTTCTGGAGTCATCAAAATCATAATAAATTTGGCCGAGTCTTGGTAAAGTAACAAGCACTGTACACAGAAAGCTATATATGGGTCATTCCATCGGGTTGGGTCTTTTCAGCATTTTCATGTGTTTGAATGTTTAGAAGCTATTTACTCAAATTTAAATGGAGTTTTAGAAAAATAAAAGTATGTTATATTGAAGAGTAATGTAGTACATAATAAATAAACATGAAAACAGAAACTTGTTCTTCATATTTTTTTTTTGTGAGAGTTTTACTACCGATGTCTCAGCGCTTTTGAGGGTGAAAGTGGTGACATGAAAACATGTCATTTTCATGAACTTATTTCTGGAAAAAAATTCATCATAATGCAATGTTTCCTACTTAAAACATGTCACCTTTAATACCCCTACTATGTTTGAGAAGCTCAAGTGAAATGTGCAAAAAATCGGAAAGTTATTTCATATTGAAAAAACACAATACCGACGTTACCAACAATGTCCTAGGCACTTTTTTCGTAACGGCGGTAATTCTAGCATTTTACACAAATTTAGCAAGATATTTTCTCAGAAAGTTTCATCTTATTAGGAAGGTACAACCCCTCATGAACATATGTAGAAAGAATGACGATTAAATCGGTCGGTAAATATAAGAAAATAATTAATTTACCGCGAAAATCGAGCGCGATGTCCTTCGTAATTTGGTAACGTCGGTGTGAAAATACGGTGTTTGAGATATAAACCAGCCCGCTAGCTTTAGTTTTCGGTGTTAAAATGACCTGCTAGTTATTCACGAATGCGCAGAACATGTTTTTTGCCGGACTGCGACGACCTACCCCTACACTGCAACCACAAACGTGAGAATGTCCATATAACGTCGGGCAGCCATTTTCGCCCGTCAGCGCCCAAATTGGTAGGTAATTTGTTTTTAAAGTTATTTTTATGGCCTGAATTATTATCATAGAAAATGAAATTCCATTTTGTTTAAATGTAATTCCGTTTAAAATTGTGTTATTTATAGCTTAAAACGGTTTCAAAACCATCACGTGTGAGTGAATATGTTACTGTTGTCCCACATACGGATATATGTGTTATAACGAAACATGCAAAATCAATGCCGGACTTTTCCCCTTAAAAAGCTAATTTCTTAGACAGAAATTGAATTTTGTTATAAGAATCCCGTAAATAATGATATTCATGATGTTCCTACACCTCAGATTTTTTCTGACAAGTGTTAAATTAATTAATATTATTTATATGGTGCAATTAATTGTCATTGAACAATGATGGCTAAGCCTAACGAAAAACACAAGTTATTGAACATTGTTTCCTTCAAGTTAGGAAGTTCAATCTGAGACCCGAAATACCAACATTTTGGGCAAAAAAGGGGGTTGGGGTTGAGATAGAGAAGAATAGGCTAAAGGGGGAGGGCACCCCCCCCCCCCCGATTCAATTAATATTGGATAGTGGATACATAATAATGTAATGAGCCTTTTTTTTTTTTAATATAATTTTTATTTTATTTTTTTATTTTTTAGTAAATTAAATAATCATTCATCTGGCTCCCCCTTCCCCCTCATCCAAAGGTTGAAGTGAGGGATAAGGGGTTTCAACACCTTCCCTCCCCCTCCAAATAATGATAAATAACAAATATAATTTTTTAACAAAAATTTATAATTCAACACAAATATTAAACTTAAAAGAAAAATTAAAATGAACAACCAATAATAATACCTACTTCTATTTGGGCATGCAACGAGCCAAAAGTGAGGATGGTGCCTCCCTATCCATCTTGCAATCCTCTGTCTAGTTGTTCCATCCTTAATTCTTACAATTTGATTTTACAACAGATCTAGATAGAAGTACTTGATAATTGCAAACACAACACACGTTTGAAATGAAAAATCACATAAAAAATTTACAGTTTTGTTTTATTTTTATCTCATTTAATATTCTCTACTCATTGGTTTTTATTTATTTCTTGTCATGCATATTTATTAGATTGCTGCATCTATTTCTTTCATGGCTCCTCTACCTCCCTTGAGGATTCAGCTCCGGCAGAGAGAGATCAAGAGAGCAGGCAAAATGACCAGTCATCGAAACCTTCCTGGAAAACAAAGATCTTTCCAATCTAATCACTATTTTGAAGAAGATATAAAGTGATGATTGATATCTATCAATATACCTCTTGTATGAATACTGTTTTTTAATTTACTGATCAAGGGATGAAATATATTTCAGATGACATTTGATGTAGTTTGTCATTTTTCAATGAGTATAAGAGGACAGTTACTCTAATATCATACGGATGTTACTCGGACATGATGTCCGTGTAACATTGGTAACTGGAGGTGTTGAGGTGAATATAGACCATAAATCTTGCAGGTTTCCTTTCAATTGTGTTATCATCTCATTAAATATGTTTCATGCATCAATTAATTAGCACATTTCTTGGAATGTAGCCAAGATTTTCTATGCAAGAGAAAAGATTACCCTTTAGAAAAAAAACATGATCTGAAAATTGCTAGTTCCTCATTTGTTTCATGTTTATAAATTGATATAATGTTGCTGTGTTCAAGTTTTAAGTATTCTAAACTATTGCTCCCATCATCTAAATGTTTTCCACACACAAAAAAGTGGAGTACAGACTGTGACAAAGTTTCAGATCAGAAAATAAATGAGCAAGTAAAAAAAAGATGTCCTTGTAACGTTGGTTTTTGGGTGTGTCTGTTTTTTCATTTTAAATGAAAGTGTGCGAAGGAATACACACAATTCCAGTGGAATCTATTGAAGAATGGGTGTTAAAAACAGGATATAACAATATAAAAATTATTCAACAACTCTGAATTTTGAACCTTCATGTCACAATTTATGACCCAACCCGATGGAATGACCCATATGGGATATATTGGATAACACACATGGTGTCGGGGCTAGTTCTACCTTGATTTCCTTGTCTTTCTTTGCTCATTACTCAGCCAGTATACATTTTCTTCCAAAATTGTTTGGCACATGTCATTTATTTGTAATCTTGAACATTCAGTGTAAGTTTCGTTTGATTCTGTGAGAATTTTTTTTTTTTTTTTTACCAGAACTGGAGTTTATCTTTAAGTTTGATTATCATAAAATAAAAGTTAATAGTATTATAATTATGCCGGACCTTCGTTATTCAAGAAGCAATTATTATTATTAAAAAAAACATTTTAAAAATAAATTTTGTTATTACATTTACTTTTACTTTTTGTTTGTTTAATGTTTATATATATTTTCTTTTTGTTCAAGTTGGTATGTTGTGTCTTTTTGCGTCGGTTTGACCTGTAGTCTAATAACACACGAGTCGCTATCTGCCGAGAGCTAGGACGGGGATTGTAGTCGAGCTTTTCCAAAGGGCCGTCGGAAAATATTAATCGAAAGTCTTCAAAACTCTTAAAAGCCTTGAGTTTTCGACGATCATAAATGCATAGTCTGCCATATTCTCTACTAGATAATTGAATTCATCATAGATCCCAAAGTCAGGAATATCGTCAAACATAAGGGAGGTTTGTAACTATAGTTCACTAAATGAAAATCCTGCCCGTTGTGATTAGCCCACACACACTCACGTCTACTGAGTGACACGGGCCCCGTAGGTCAGGGGCTATGGGCAGGCTAATGTACGCCACCACGGAAGCTAATTTAACGAGTCTTTTCTCGGGTGTATACCGTGGTCAAAACTCCTCTTTTTCTAAGAAAATATTGCAGCTGCCTGAAACTCAGCTTGTTGAATGGCAAGTTGCAAGACATTTCCGGCCAAAACGGAAATTTATATATATATAAACTCAGTTTTGATAGAAAGATATGAATGAAATTTAACAGCAAGAACCGACAGTCTAATACAAGATGCACAGATTCAATATAGCGGTACGGCAAAGCTTGACCGACCTAGTTACTACAGCAACCGCGCATTACGTAATCGCCGAAACTGGCCCATTGATTAGATTTTAGGGTCATGAGGTCAAAGGTCAAAAGTCATGGGGCCTATTATGTATTTTGGTTTGTAAAATCGCTCTGTGGCCGAGGCATTATTTTCGACTGCGCGCGGTCTAAGTTCCAGGCCTATATGATAGAATCCTATGAAAAGAGAAAGAGAGAGAGAGAGAGAAAGAAAGAAAAGAGTCCTCCAACTAAAAACAAAATAATAAATATAATGATGATGATATTAATTGTTTAAAAAAAAAAGAACAAGAAAAGAACAAAGAAAGGATCAAATGATCATGAGTCGTAGCAGTTAGTAGTCTATGAGCAAAGAATTAATTTGGGTATTGGATTCATGTCTGCAAAAGAGCATAGTGGACAGAGTGTTGGTCTTTGAAAGGATTAACCTTGGTTTAGTGCTTGTATAAGGTATTCTTTTTAATTACTCAGTCTCTCAGATAGGACTTAAAGCTGTTGATTCCTCAGAGCTTCAGAGAATAATAATATACATACTTCATTAGCTAATCGTTACATGATCCAAGCTTGAATTATTAAGGCGTATACAGCTGAATTGGCAGTGACGTGAGGGCAATTGTTCTGATATGTTCATTTGATAGTTCTGTTGTGGGAAGAGCATTGTGTAGTAAAACTACCTTACATCAAATAATAAATCTGCTTACCGTAATATTCCAAATTGTAGAAGAATCTGAGTACAAATCAAATTTTGATTTGTATGATGAAATTGCATCTACAGATGTTGCATTTTTTCCCCTTTCAATTTTTCAGAGCGTATGAAGCACTCAACGTCAAGCATGAAAATCTGTCGCTGATTCAACCCCGATTCGTGGTGCCCCTGCCTCCTCTTCAACCAGCGGTAAGTCTACATCACCACCATAATTTGAAACCAGTCATCATGTGGTTTTAGCTGATGATGAGAGCGACATGGTTTTAGGTGATGTTGATGGAGATGTGGTTTAAGCTGATGATGATGGAGGTGTGGTTTTAGCTGATGATGATGTGAAGGTGGTTTTAGCTGATGATGAGAGTGACATGGTTTTAGCTGATGATGAGAGTGACATGGTTTTAGGCGATGTTGATGGGGATGTGGTTTTAGCTGATGATGATTGGATGTGGTTTTAGCTGATGATGAGAGTGACATGGTTTTAGGTGATGATGATGGGGATGTGGTTTTAGATGATGATGATGGGAGGTGGTTTTAGCTGATGAGAGTGACATGGTTTTAGGTGATGATGATGGGGATGTGGTTTTAGCTGATGATGAGAGTGACATGGTTTTAGCTGATGATGATTGGATGTGGTTTTAGCTGATGATGAGAGTGACATGGTTTTAGGTGATGCTGATGGGGATGTGGTTTTAGATGATGATGATGTGAAGGTGGTTTTAGCTGATGATGAGAGTGACATGGTTTTAGCTGATGATGAGAGTGACATGGTTTTAGGTGATGTTGATGGAGATGCGGTTTTAGCTGATGATGATGGAGGTGTGGTTTTAGCTGATGATGATGTGAAGGTGGTTTTAGCTGATGATGAGAGTGACATGGTTTTAGGTGATGTTGATGGGGATGTGGTTTTAGCTGATGATGATTGGATGTGGTTTTAGCTGATGATGAGAGTGACATGGTTTAGGTGATGATGATGGGGATGTGGTTTTAGATGATGATGATGTGAAGGTGGTTTTAGCTGATGATGAGAGTGACATGGTTTTAGCTGATGATGAGAGTGACATGGTTTTAGGTGATGTTGATGGAGATGCGGTTTTAGCTGATGATGATGGAGGTGTGGTTTTAGCTGATGATGATGTGAAGGTGGTTTTAGCTGATGATGAGAGTGACATGGTTTTAGGTGATGTTGATGGGGATGTGGTTTTAGCTGATGATGATTGGATGTGGTTTTAGCTGATGATGAGAGTGACATGGTTTAGGTGATGATGATGGGGATGTGGTTTTAGATGATGATGATGTGAAGGTGGTTTTAGCTGATGATGAGAGTGACATGGTTTTAGCTGATGATGAGAGTGACATGGTTTTAGGTGATGTTGATGGAGATGCGGTTTTAGCTGATGATGATGGAGGTGTGGTTTTAGCTGATGATGATGTGAAGGTGGTTTTAGCTGATGATGAGAGTGACATGGTTTTAGCTGATGATGAGAGTGACATGGTTTTAGGTGATGTTGATGGGGATGTGGTTTTAGCTGATGATGATTGGATGTGGTTTTAGCTGATGATGAGAGTGACATGGTTTTAGGTGATGATGATGGGGATGTGGTTTTAGATGATGATGATGGGAGGTGGTTTTAGCTGATGATGAGAGTGACATGGTTTTAGGCGATGTTGATGGGGATGTGGTTTTAGATGATGATGATGGGAGGTGGTTTTAGCTGATGATGAGAGTGACATGGTTTTAGCTGATGATGGGAGGTGGTTTTAGCTGATGATGAGAGTGACATGGTTTCAGGTGATGTTGATGCGGATGTGGTTTTAGATGATGATGATGGGAGGTTGCTCTAGCTGATGATGATGTGGATGGGGTTTTAGCTGATGATGAGAGTGACATGGTTTTAGCTGATGATGATGGGGATGTGGTTTTAGCTGATGATGAGAGTGACATGGTTTTAGGTGATGTTGATGGGGATGTGGTTTTAGCTGATGATGATGGGATGTGGTTTTAGCTGATGATGAGAGCGAGGTGGTTTTAGCTGATGATGAGAGTGACATGGTTTTAGCTGATGTTGATGGGGATGTGGTTTTAGCTGATGATGATGGGAGGTGGTTTTAGCCGATGATGATGTAGATGTGGTTTTAGCTGATGATGAGAGTGACATGGTTCTAGCTGATATTGATCGGGATGTGGTTTTAGCTGATGATGAGAGTTACATGTTTTTAGCTGATGATGTGGGGGATTTGGTTTTAGATGATGGTGGTGATGTTTTTTAATTGGTCCTACACGAAAAGGCCAAGGCCCGACATGTCAAAACTTCTGCTTTTGGGGGCTAATCACTACAGGAGGCTGCAACCCTTGCCCTCCTTTTAAATATAGCTTTTTCATCTTCAAAACAAAGTAGTACCCGGAAGAAAAATATCTGGTCCTTTGAAATGCTTACAGCTTTGAACAACCCAAAACAAATTCTGCCCATGGTGTATAACCCGTTCATAAGTTCTTCTAAACACAACTATTATATCAATCTCTTTACCCGAAGGGCATACAAAACCATTCCATGTCATATCAGAACAAAGGCCTTTTTATGTAGACTCTTTCCCCCGCAGGTACTGAAGATCATCTGGAGTATTATGTTCATGAGTGTGGAGACATCTTAAACCATCAGCATGAAGCTACCGGCAGACTCAACAGACGCTAAACACATTATGGAGCATGTCTTTGCACAGGTGTCGGAATTCAAGAAACTCAACCAAGTAAGATCATGAACAGGAAAATTCCCTTTTTGATGAGATATGGGATCATATTGTGTGAGAGCAGTATACCATGTTGGTAGTTTTCATTTAAAGATGACATATTTCTTTCTTGAAATGTTCCTGAACTTTCACTCTGCACTTATTCTTATGCCTCCGCTACAAAGTAGCCGGAGGCAGTATGTTTTCTGGTTGTCCGTCCATCCGAACGTCCCGTTCTCGTGATCGCTTTATCTCAAGAACCAATTTTTGGATTACCACCAAACTTTGGTCATGTATGTATTTTGCAGAGCTAATGAAGTGATTAGATTTTGGGGTGACGAGGTCAAAGGTCACAGGGCTTATTACGTATGTATAAATAGCTTGTGATTGCGTTATCTCAAGAACCGATTAATAGATTCCCGCCAAACTTGGGTTCATCTGTACTCACTTATCTTTTTGTTTCAATTTCAATTTCATTTTGTTCATGTTTCCAACAAAACATTACGAAGCAATTATAAGCATTTAAAACAAATGTAGAAATACAATGCTTGTATATGTGTGAACACCTCATGAGATACTAAATTGAAAAGTGCAGTATGCTCAAAACACCCACGTTCACCACAGCATTTGGGAACAAGCTGTATGTTGCATGGAAATTGCAGCTTGTACCTACAGCTGATCTTTGTTATGTAATAGTATTTTTCACTGATAACATTCTTTATTACACTTCTGGGCTCCTATTCACTTTACTTTTCATGGTTTGTCTATTAGGAAAATAGTAAGATATTGAAATAAAGAGAGATGTAATATAATTTGTGTTCTCTTACTTTGTTCAGGCGACTGGAGTGCGTCTATACACAGGGAACGTTGGAGCAGATGATGTTGATGGTGTAGACATGGCTTACAGGGTAGTGGCTGATCATATTCGCACATTGACCATAGCTCTCTTGGACGGAAGCTGGCCAGATAATGTTGGAAGAGGGTGAGTCCTTTTGAATGGATTTTCTAGCCCTCATTTGATCCTATTACAGTCTAATGGTTGGCAATACCTTACATGCCATACATTAAAATTACCTAAAGTTTGGTTCTATTTAACAACACATGGGATACATAATACATGAGATGGAATTTAAAAAACCTTGTTAACACACATATTTATGCCTTAATAATAAGAATAATAATAATAATAATAATAATATTTTGATGTCTCTACTACAGCCTAGCCGGAGGCATTATGTTTTCTGGTTGTCCGTCTGTCCGTACGTCTGTTCTTGTGATCACGTTATCTCAAGAACCGATTAATGGATTCCCGCCAAACTTTGGGCATGTATGTATCTTGCAGAGCCGATGAAGTGATTAGATTTTGGGGTCACAAGGTCAATGGTCACATTGCTCATTATGTATGCAAAAACAGCTTGTGATCACACTATCACTAGAACCGATGGACGGATTAGCATCAAACTCTAAACTATGTATCTTGCAGAGCGGTCGGTCAAACAAAGAACTCGCGGTGCATAGCAGCCTACACTCTGTGTGCATACAATACATGACTGTGTTTGCAAGGTGTGATTGTATTATTTGCTTTCGCTATTATGAGAGAGAGAGAGAGAGAAGAAAAAGGAGGCAGTTTCAAACTTGAATAATAAATATCTTTGAGATGTGATTTTGTTCCACATACATTTGATCTTGAAACTGAGTACAAATTTGGACGTAGAAATGAAAGAAGTGATGAACTATTTTCCACCCGTTCGCACACCAGTCACCTCTGCTTGCAGAAGAACGTGTGTGCGCGTGCTTACCACGTGTACATGTACGTGTAGGCGCGATTCACATTTCCATAATGAAAACAAATTTACGGATTAAAAAAAGTTTGTGAAACGCCTCGATACAAACTATTTCAAGGCGGACGTGAAACGGCTAACGAGAAGCAAGCACAGTGAACACAGAATCAATGTTATTAACAAAAGTAACGAGAAATAATGATAATAAAGGTAATAATGGTGACACTATAAGTTCTTTGTATTGATAAAACAATATTTATTAAAAATGTCATCCGTTGACGGAGAACTAGAATAAGAGGGATGAATAATGATAAACAATTAATTTTGAGTGGAAAAAATGAAGAAAAACAATGAGCAAGGAAGAAGAATGTGTGAAGTAAAGATTGATAAATAATGATAGAGCAATGGAAAAAAGGAGTAATAAAAGTAATAATAAAAAACACTTATGATAGCAAGGAAAAAGAATAAGGATAATGATTAATTTTATTGTTTAAAATAAGATTAGAAATTAAAGATAAAGGTTAGTTCTGGTAATGCGATTGCATTGTGAAAGAAAAGGTGTGGAATGGATCAGAAACAGTTGATCATGTAGCATGTAATTATTGGTGTGCACTGCAAGGTTCTGGAGTCATCAAAATCATAATAAATTTGGCCGAGTCTTGGTAAAGTAACAAGCACTGTACACAGAAAGCTATATATGGGATATATTGGATAACACACATGGTGTCGGGGCTAGTTCTACCTTGATTTCCTTGTCTTTCTTTGCTCATTACTCAGCCAGTATACATTTTCTTCCAAAATTGTTTGGCACATGTCATTTATTTGTAATCTTGAACATTCAGTGTAAGTTTCGTTTGATTCTGTGAGAATTTTTTTTTTTTTTTTTACCAGAACTGGAGTTTATCTTTAAGTTTGATTATCATAAAATAAAAGTTAATAGTATTATAATTATGCCGGACCTTCGTTATTCAAGAAGCAATTATTATTATTAAAAAAAACATTTTAAAAATAAATTTTGTTATTACATTTACTTTTACTTTTTGTTTGTTTAATATTTATATATATTTTCTTTTTGTTCAAGTTGGTATGTTGTGTCTTTTTGCGTCGGTTTGACCTGTAGTCTAATAACACACGAGTCGCTATCTGCCGAGAGCTAGGACGGGGATTGTAGTTGAGCTTTTCCAAAGGGCCGTCGGAAAATATTGATCGAAAGTCTTCAAAACTCTTAAAAGCCTCGAGTTTTCGACGATCATAAATGCATAGTCTGCCATATTCTCTACTAGATAATTGAATTCATCATAGATCCCAAAGTCAGGAATATCGTCAAACATAAGGGAGGTTTGTAACTATAGTTCACTAAATGAAAATCCTGCCCGTTGTGATTAGCCCACACACACTCACGTCTACTGAGTGACACGGGCCCCGTAGGTCAGGGGCTATGGGCAGGCTAATGTACGCCACCACGGAAGCTAATTTAACGAGTCTTTTCTCGGGTGTATACCGTGGTCAAAACTCCTCTTTTTCTAAGAAAATATTGCAGCTGCCTGAAACTCAGCTTGTTGAATGGCAAGTTGCAAGACATTTCCGGCCAAAACGGAAATTTATATATATATAAACTCAGTTTTGATAGAAAGATATGAATGAAATTTAACAGCAAGAACCGACAGTCTAATACAAGATGCACAGATTCAATATAGCGGTACGGCAAAGCTTGACCGACCTAGTTACTACAGCAACCGCGCATTACGTAATCGCCGAAACTGGCCCATTGATTAGATTTTAGGGTCATGAGGTCAAAGGTCAAAAGTCATGGGGCCTATTATGTATTTTGGTTTGTAAAATCGCTCTGTGGCGGAGGCATTATTTTCGACTGCGCGCGGTCTAAGTTCCAGGCCTATATGATAGAATCCTATGAAAAGAGAAAGAGAGAGAGAGAGAGAAAGAAAGAAAAGAGTCCTCCAACTAAAAACAAAATAATAAATATAATGATAATGATATTAATTGTTTAAAAAAAAAAGAACAAGAAAAGAACAAAGAAAGGATCAAATGATCATGAGTCGTAGCAGTTAGTAGTCTATGAGCAAAGAATTAATTTGGGTATTGGATTCATGTCTGCAAAAGAGCATAGTGGACAGAGTGTTGGTCTTTGAAAGGATTAACCTTGGTTTAGTGCTTGTAAAAGGTATTCTTTTTAATTACTCAGTCTCTCAGATAGGACTTAAAGCTGTTGATTCCTCAGAGCTTCAGAGAATAATAATATACATACTTCATTAGCTAATCGTTACATGATCCAAGCTTGAATTATTAAGGCGTATACAGCTGAATTGGCAGTGACGTGAGGGCAATTGTTCTGATATGTTCATTTGATAGTTCTGTTGTGGGAAGAGCATTGTGTAGTAAAACTACCTTACATCAAATAATAAATCTGCTTACCGTAATATTCCAAATTGTAGAAGAATCTGAGTACAAATCAAATTTTGATTTGTATGATGAAATTGCATCTACAGATGTTGCATTTTTTCCCCTTTCAATTTTTCAGAGCGTATGAAGCACTCAACGTCAAGCATGAAAATCTGTCGCTGATTCAACCCCGATTCGTGGTGCCCCTGCCTCCTCTTCAACCAGCGGTAAGTCTACATCACCACCATAATTTGAAACCAGTCATCATGTGGTTTTAGCTGATGATGAGAGCGACATGGTTTTAGGTGATGTTGATGGAGATGTGGTTTAAGCTGATGATGATGGAGGTGTGGTTTTAGCTGATGATGATGTGAAGGTGGTTTTAGCTGATGATGAGAGTGACATGGTTTTAGCTGATGATGAGAGTGACATGGTTTTAGGCGATGTTGATGGGGATGTGGTTTTAGCTGATGATGATTGGATGTGGTTTTAGCTGATGATGAGAGTGACATGGTTTTAGGTGATGCTGATGGGGATGTGGTTTTAGATGATGATGATGTGAAGGTGGTTTTAGCTGATGATGAGAGTGACATGGTTTTAGCTGATGATGAGAGTGACATGGTTTTAGGTGATGTTGATGGAGATGCGGTTTTAGCTGATGATGATGGAGGTGTGGTTTTAGCTGATGATGATGTGAAGGTGGTTTTAGCTGATGATGAGAGTGACATGGTTTTAGGTGATGTTGATGGGGATGTGGTTTTAGCTGATGATGATTGGATGTGGTTTTAGCTGATGATGAGAGTGACATGGTTTAGGTGATGATGATGGGGATGTGGTTTTAGATGATGATGATGTGAAGGTGGTTTTAGCTGATGATGAGAGTGACATGGTTTTAGCTGATGATGAGAGTGACATGGTTTTAGGTGATGTTGATGGAGATGCGGTTTTAGCTGATGATGATGGAGGTGTGGTTTTAGCTGATGATGATGTGAAGGTGGTTTTAGCTGATGATGAGAGTGACATGGTTTTAGCTGATGATGAGAGTGACATGGTTTTAGGTGATGTTGATGGGGATGTGGTTTTAGCTGATGATGATTGGATGTGGTTTTAGCTGATGATGAGAGTGACATGGTTTTAGGTGATGATGATGGGGATGTGGTTTTAGATGATGATGATGGGAGGTGGTTTTAGCTGATGATGAGAGTGACATGGTTTTAGGCGATGTTGATGGGAATGTGGTTTTAGATGATGATGATGGGAGGTGGTTTTAGCTGATGATGAGAGTGACATGGTTTTAGCTGATGATGGGAGGTGGTTTTAGCTGATGATGAGAGTGACATGGTTTCAGGTGATGTTGATGCGGATGTGGTTTTAGATGATGATGATGGGAGGTTGCTCTAGCTGATGATGATGTGGATGGGGTTTTAGCTGATGATGAGAGTGACATGGTTTTAGCTGATGATGATGGGGATGTGGTTTTAGCTGATGATGAGAGTGACATGGTTTTAGGTGATGTTGATGGGGATGTGGTTTTAGCTGATGATGATGGGATGTGGTTTTAGCTGATGATGAGAGCGAGGTGGTTTTAGCTGATGATGAGAGTGACATGGTTTTAGCTGATGTTGATGGGGATGTGGTTTTAGCTGATGATGATGGGAGGTGGTTTTAGCCGATGATGATGTAGATGTGGTTTTAGCTGATGATGAGAGTGACATGGTTCTAGCTGATATTGATCGGGATGTGGTTTTAGCTGATGATGAGAGTTACATGTTTTTAGCTGATGATGTGGGGGATTTGGTTTTAGATGATGGTGGTGATGTTTTTTAATTGGTCCTACACGAAAAGGCCAAGGCCCGACATGTCAAAACTTCTGCTTTTGGGGGCTAATCACTCCAGGAGGCTGCAACCCTTGCCCTCCTTTTAAATATAGCTTTTTCATCTTCAAAACAAAGTAGTACCCGGAAGAAAAATATCTGGTCCTTTGAAATGCTTACAGCTTTGAACAACCCAAAAAAAATTCTGCCCATGGTGTATAACCTGTTCATAAGTTCTTCTAAACACAACTATTATATCAATCTCTTTACCCGAAGGGCATACAAAACCATTCCATGTCATATCAGAACAAAGGCCTTTTTATGTAGACTCTTTCCCCCGCAGGTACTGAAGATCATCTGGAGTATTATGTTCATGAGTGTGGAGACATCTTAAACCATCAGCATGAAGCTACCGGCAGACTCAACAGACGCTAAACACATTATGGAGCATGTCTTTGCACAGGTGTCGGAATTCAAGAAACTCAACCAAGTAAGATCATGAACAGGAAAATTCCCTTTTTGATGAGATATGGGATCATATTGTGTGAGAGCAGTATACCATGTTGGTAGTTTTCATTTAAAGATGACATATTTCTTTCTTGAAATGTTCCTGAACTTTCACTCTGCACTTATTCTTATGCCTCCGCTACAAAGTAGCCGGAGGCAGTATGTTTTCTGGTTGTCCGTCCATCCGAACGTCCCGTTCTCGTGATCGCTTTATCTCAAGAACCAATATTGGATTACCACCAAACTTTGGTCATGTATGTATTTTGCAGAGCTAATGAAGTGATTAGATTTTGGGGTGACGAGGTCAAAGGTCACAGGGCTTATTACGTATGTATAAATAGCTTGTGATTGCGTTATCTCAAGAACCGATTAATAGATTCCCGCCAAACTTGGGTTCATCTGTACTCACTTATCTTTTTGTTTCAATTTCAATTTCATTTTGTTCATGTTTCCAACAAAACATTACGAAGCAATTATAAGCATTTAAAACAAATGTAGAAATACAATGCTTGTATATGTGTGAACACCTCATGAGATACTAAATTGAAAAGTGCAGTATGCTCAAAACACCCACGTTCACCACAGCATTTGGGAACAAGCTGTATGTTGCATGGAAATTGCAGCTTGTACCTACAGCTGATCTTTGTTATGTAATAGTATTTTTCACTGATAACATTCTTTATTACACTTCTGGGCTCCTATTCACTTTACTTTTCATGGTTTGTCTATTAGGAAAATAGTAAGATATTGAAATAAAGAGAGATGTAATATAATTTGTGTTCTCTTACTTTGTTCAGGCGACTGGAGTGCGTCTATACACAGGGAACGTTGGAGCAGATGATGTTGATGGTGTAGACATGGCTTACAGGGTAGTGGCTGATCATATTCGCACATTGACCATAGCTCTCTTGGACGGAAGCTGGCCAGATAATGTTGGAAGAGGGTGAGTCCTTTTGAATGGATTTTCTAGCCCTCATTTGATCCTATTACAGTCTAATGGTTGGCAATACCTTACATGCCATACATTAAAATTACCTAAAGTTTGGTTCTATTTAACAACACATGGGATACATAATACATGAGATGGAATTTAAAAAACCTTGTTAACACACATATTTATGCCTTAATAATAAGAATAATAATAATAATAATAATATTTTGATGTCTCTGCTACAGCCTAGCCGGAGGCATTATGTTTTCTGGTTGTCCGTCTGTCCGTACGTCTGTTCTTGTGATCACGTTATCTCAAGAACCGATTAATGGATTCCCGCCAAACTTTGGGCATGTATGTATCTTGCAGAGCCGATGAAGTGATTAGATTTTGGGGTCACGAGGTCAATGGTCACATTGCTCATTATGTATGCAAAAACAGCTTGTGATCACACTATCACTAGAACCGATGGACGGATTAGCATCAAACTCTAAACTATGTATCTTGCAGAGCGGTCGGTCAAACAAAGAACTCGCGGTGCATAGCAGCCTACACTCTGTGTGCATACAATACATGACTGTGTTTGCAAGGTGTGATTGTATTATTTGCTTTCGCTATTATGAGAGAGAGAGAGAGAGAAGAAAAAGGAGGCAGTTTCAAACTTGAATAATAAATATCTTTGAGATGTGATTTTGTTCCACATACATTTGATCTTGAAACTGAGTACAAATTTGGACGTAGAAATGAAAGAAGTGATGAACTATTTTCCACCCGTTCGCACACCAGTCACCTCTGCTTGCAGAAGAACGTGTGTGCGCGTGCTTACCACGTGTACATGTACGTGTAGGCGCGATTCACATTTTCATAATGAAAACAAATTTACGGATTAAAAAAAGTTTGTGAAACGCCTCGATACAAACTATTTCAAGGCGGACGTGAAACGGCTAACGAGAAGCAAGCACAGTGAACACAGAATCAATGTTATTAACAAAAGTAACGAGAAATAATGATAATAAAGGTAATAATGGTGACACTATAAGTTCTTTGTATTGATAAAACAATATTTATTAAAAATGTCATCCGTTGACGGAGAACTAGAATAAGAGGGATGAATAATGATAAACAATTAATTTTGAGTGGAAAAAATGAAGAAAAACAATGAGCAAGGAAGAAGAATGTGTGAAGTAAAGATTGATAAATAATGATAGAGCAATGGAAAAAAGGAGTAATAAAAGTAATAATAAAAAACACTTATGATAGCAAGGAAAAAGAATAAGGATAATGATTAATTTTATTGTTTAAAATAAGATTAGAAATTAAAGATAAAGGTTAGTTCTGGTAATGCGATTGCATTGTGAAAGAAAAGGTGTGGAATGGATCAGAAACAGTTGATCATGTAGCATGTAATTATTGGTGTGCACTGCAAGGTTCTGGAGTCATCAAAATCATAATAAATTTGGCCGAGTCTTGGTAAAGTAACAAGCACTGTACACAGAAAGCTATATATGGGATATATTGGATAACACACATGGTGTCGGGGCTAGTTCTACCTTGATTTCCTTGTCTTTCTTTGCTCATTACTCAGCCAGTATACATTTTCTTCCAAAATTGTTTGGCACATGTCATTTATTTGTAATCTTGAACATTCAGTGTAAGTTTCGTTTGATTCTGTGAGAATTTTTTTTTTTTTTTTTACCAGAACTGGAGTTTATCTTTAAGTTTGATTATCATAAAATAAAAGTTAATAGTATTATAATTATGCCGGACCTTCGTTATTCAAGAAGCAATTATTATTATTAAAAAAAACATTTTAAAAATAAATTTTGTTATTACATTTACTTTTACTTTTTGTTTGTTTAATATTTATATATATTTTCTTTTTGTTCAAGTTGGTATGTTGTGTCTTTTTGCGTCGGTTTGACCTGTAGTCTAATAACACACGAGTCGCTATCTGCCGAGAGCTAGGACGGGGATTGTAGTTGAGCTTTTCCAAAGGGCCGTCGGAAAATATTGATCGAAAGTCTTCAAAACTCTTAAAAGCCTCGAGTTTTCGACGATCATAAATGCATAGTCTGCCATATTCTCTACTAGATAATTGAATTCATCATAGATCCCAAAGTCAGGAATATCGTCAAACATAAGGGAGGTTTGTAACTATAGTTCACTAAATGAAAATCCTGCCCGTTGTGATTAGCCCACACACACTCACGTCTACTGAGTGACACGGGCCCCGTAGGTCAGGGGCTATGGGCAGGCTAATGTACGCCACCACGGAAGCTAATTTAACGAGTCTTTTCTCGGGTGTATACCGTGGTCAAAACTCCTCTTTTTCTAAGAAAATATTGCAGCTGCCTGAAACTCAGCTTGTTGAATGGCAAGTTGCAAGACATTTCCGGCCAAAACGGAAATTTATATATATATAAACTCAGTTTTGATAGAAAGATATGAATGAAATTTAACAGCAAGAACCGACAGTCTAATACAAGATGCACAGATTCAATATAGCGGTACGGCAAAGCTTGACCGACCTAGTTACTACAGCAACCGCGCATTACGTAATCGCCGAAACTGGCCCATTGATTAGATTTTAGGGTCATGAGGTCAAAGGTCAAAAGTCATGGGGCCTATTATGTATTTTGGTTTGTAAAATCGCTCTGTGGCGGAGGCATTATTTTCGACTGCGCGCGGTCTAAGTTCCAGGCCTATATGATAGAATCCTATGAAAAGAGAAAGAGAGAGAGAGAGAGAAAGAAAGAAAAGAGTCCTCCAACTAAAAACAAAATAATAAATATAATGATGATGATATTAATTGTTTAAAAAAAAAAGAACAAGAAAAGAACAAAGAAAGGATCAAATGATCATGAGTCGTAGCAGTTAGTAGTCTATGAGCAAAGAATTAATTTGGGTATTGGATTCATGTCTGCAAAAGAGCATAGTGGACAGAGTGTTGGTCTTTGAAAGGATTAACCTTGGTTTAGTGCTTGTATAAGGTATTCTTTTTAATTACTCAGTCTCTCAGATAGGACTTAAAGCTGTTGATTCCTCAGAGCTTCAGAGAATAATAATATACATACTTCATTAGCTAATCGTTACATGATCCAAGCTTGAATTATTAAGGCGTATACAGCTGAATTGGCAGTGACGTGAGGGCAATTGTTCTGATATGTTCATTTGATAGTTCTGTTGTGGGAAGAGCATTGTGTAGTAAAACTACCTTACATCAAATAATAAATCTGCTTACCGTAATATTCCAAATTGTAGAAGAATCTGAGTACAAATCAAATTTTGATTTGTATGATGAAATTGCATCTACAGATGTTGCATTTTTTCCCCTTTCAATTTTTCAGAGCGTATGAAGCACTCAACGTCAAGCATGAAAATCTGTCGCTGATTCAACCCCGATTCGTGGTGCCCCTGCCTCCTCTTCAACCAGCGGTAAGTCTACATCACCACCATAATTTGAAACCAGTCATCATGTGGTTTTAGCTGATGATGAGAGCGACATGGTTTTAGGTGATGTTGATGCTGATGATGATGGTGGTTTTAGCTGAATGATGATGATGGAGTGTGGTTTTAGCTGATGATGAGATGACATGGTTTTAGGCGAGGATGATGATTTTGGTTTTAGCTGATGATGAGAGTGACATGGTTTTAGGTGATGTTGATGATGAGATGTGGTTTTAGCTGATGATGATGTGAAGGTGGTTTTAGCTGATGATGAGAGTGACATGGTTTTAGGCGATGTTGATGGGGATGTGGTTTTAGCTGATGATGATTGGATGTGGTTTTAGCTGATGATGAGAGTGACATGGTTTTAGGTGATGCTGATGGGGATGTGGTTTTAGATGATGATGTGAAGGTGGTTTTAGCTGATGATGAGAGTGACATGGTTTTAGCTGATGATGAGAGTGACATGGTTTTAGGTGATGTTGATGGAGATGCGGTTTTAGCTGATGATGATGGAGGTGTGGTTTTAGCTGATGATGATGTGAAGGTGGTTTTAGCTGATGATGAGAGTGACATGGTTTTAGCTGATGATGAGAGTGACATGGTTTTAGGTGATGTTGATGGGGATGTGGTTTTAGCTGATGATGATTGGATGTGGTTTTAGCTGATGATGAGAGTGACATGGTTTTAGGTGATGATGATGGGGATGTGGTTTTAGATGATGATGATGGGAGGTGGTTTTAGCTGATGATGAGAGTGACATGGTTTTAGGCGATGTTGATGGGGATGTGGTTTTAGATGATGATGATGGGAGGTGGTTTTAGCTGATGATGAGAGTGACATGGTTTTAGCTGATGATGGGAGGTGGTTTTAGCTGATGATGAGAGTGACATGGTTTCAGGTGATGTTGATGCGGATGTGGTTTTAGATGATGATGATGGGAGGTTGCTCTAGCTGATGATGATGTGGATGGGGTTTTAGCTGATGATGAGAGTGACATGGTTTTAGCTGATGATGATGGGGATGTGGTTTTAGCTGATGATGAGAGTGACATGGTTTTAGGTGATGTTGATGGGGATGTGGTTTTAGCTGATGATGATGGGATGTGGTTTTAGCTGATGATGAGAGCGAGGTGGTTTTAGCTGATGATGAGAGTGACATGGTTTTAGCTGATGTTGATGGGGATGTGGTTTTAGCTGATGATGATGGGAGGTGGTTTTAGCCGATGATGATGTAGATGTGGTTTTAGCTGATGATGAGAGTGACATGGTTCTAGCTGATATTGATCGGGATGTGGTTTTAGCTGATGATGAGAGTTACATGTTTTTAGCTGATGATGTGGGGGATTTGGTTTTAGATGATGGTGGTGATGTTTTTTAATTGGTCCTACACGAAAAGGCCAAGGCCCGACATGTCAAAACTTCTGCTTTTGGGGGCTAATCACTCCAGGAGGCTGCAACCCTTGCCCTCCTTTTAAATATAGCTTTTTCATCTTCAAAACAAAGTAGTACCCGGAAGAAAAATATCTGGTCCTTTGAAATGCTTACAGCTTTGAACAACCCAAAAAAAATTCTGCCCATGGTGTATAACCTGTTCATAAGTTCTTCTAAACACAACTATTATATCAATCTCTTTACCCGAAGGGCATACAAAACCATTCCATGTCATATCAGAACAAAGGCCTTTTTATGTAGACTCTTTCCCCCGCAGGTACTGAAGATCATCTGGAGTATTATGTTCATGAGTGTGGAGACATCTTAAACCATCAGCATGAAGCTACCGGCAGACTCAACAGACGCTAAACACATTATGGAGCATGTCTTTGCACAGGTGTCGGAATTCAAGAAACTCAACCAAGTAAGATCATGAACAGGAAAATTCCCTTTTTGATGAGATATGGGATCATATTGTGTGAGAGCAGTATACCATGTTGGTAGTTTTCATTTAAAGATGACATATTTCTTTCTTGAAATGTTCCTGAACTTTCACTCTGCACTTATTCTTATGCCTCCGCTACAAAGTAGCCGGAGGCAGTATGTTTTCTGGTTGTCCGTCCATCCGAACGTCCCGTTCTCGTGATCGCTTTATCTCAAGAACCAATTTTTGGATTACCACCAAACTTTGGTCATGTATGTATTTTGCAGAGCTAATGAAGTGATTAGATTTTGGGGTGACGAGGTCAAAGGTCACAGGGCTTATTACGTATGTATAAATAGCTTGTGATTGCGTTATCTCAAGAACCGATTAATAGATTCCCGCCAAACTTGGGTTCATCTGTACTCACTTATCTTTTTGTTTCAATTTCAATTTCATTTTGTTCATGTTTCCAACAAAACATTACGAAGCAATTATAAGCATTTAAAACAAATGTAGAAATACAATGCTTGTATATGTGTGAACACCTCATGAGATACTAAATTGAAAAGTGCAGTATGCTCAAAACACCCACGTTCACCACAGCATTTGGGAACAAGCTGTATGTTGCATGGAAATTGCAGCTTGTACCTACAGCTGATCTTTGTTATGTAATAGTATTTTTCACTGATAACATTCTTTATTACACTTCTGGGCTCCTATTCACTTTACTTTTCATGGTTTGTCTATTAGGAAAATAGTAAGATATTGAAATAAAGAGAGATGTAATATAATTTGTGTTCTCTTACTTTGTTCAGGCGACTGGAGTGCGTCTATACACAGGGAACGTTGGAGCAGATGATGTTGATGGTGTAGACATGGCTTACAGGGTAGTGGCTGATCATATTCGCACATTGACCATAGCTCTCTTGGACGGAAGCTGGCCAGATAATGTTGGAAGAGGGTGAGTCCTTTTGAATGGATTTTCTAGCCCTCATTTGATCCTATTACAGTCTAATGGTTGGCAATACCTTACATGCCATACATTAAAATTACCTAAAGTTTGGTTCTATTTAACAACACATGGGATACATAATACATGAGATGGAATTTAAAAAACCTTGTTAACACACATATTTATGCCTTAATAATAAGAATAATAATAATAATAATAATATTTTGATGTCTCTACTACAGCCTAGCCGGAGGCATTATGTTTTCTGGTTGTCCGTCTGTCCGTACGTCTGTTCTTGTGATCACGTTATCTCAAGAACCGATTAATGGATTCCCGCCAAACTTTGGGCATGTATGTATCTTGCAGAGCCGATGAAGTGATTAGATTTTGGGGTCACAAGGTCAATGGTCACATTGCTCATTATGTATGCAAAAACAGCTTGTGATCACACTATCACTAGAACCGATGGACGGATTAGCATCAAACTCTAAACTATGTATCTTGCAGAGCGGTCGGTCAAACAAAGAACTCGCGGTGCATAGCAGCCTACACTCTGTGTGCATACAATACATGACTGTGTTTGCAAGGTGTGATTGTATTATTTGCTTTCGCTATTATGAGAGAGAGAGAGAGAGAAGAAAAAGGAGGCAGTTTCAAACTTGAATAATAAATATCTTTGAGATGTGATTTTGTTCCACATACATTTGATCTTGAAACTGAGTACAAATTTGGACGTAGAAATGAAAGAAGTGATGAACTATTTTCCACCCGTTCGCACACCAGTCACCTCTGCTTGCAGAAGAACGTGTGTGCGCGTGCTTACCACGTGTACATGTACGTGTAGGCGCGATTCACATTTTCATAATGAAAACAAATTTACGGATTAAAAAAAGTTTGTGAAACGCCTCGATACAAACTATTTCAAGGCGGACGTGAAACGGCTAACGAGAAGCAAGCACAGTGAACACAGAATCAATGTTATTAACAAAAGTAACGAGAAATAATGATAATAAAGGTAATAATGGTGACACTATAAGTTCTTTGTATTGATAAAACAATATTTATTAAAAATGTCATCCGTTGACGGAGAACTAGAATAAGAGGGATGAATAATGATAAACAATTAATTTTGAGTGGAAAAAATGAAGAAAAACAATGAGCAAGGAAGAAGAATGTGTGAAGTAAAGATTGATAAATAATGATAGAGCAATGGAAAAAAGGAGTAATAAAAGTAATAATAAAAAACACTTATGATAGCAAGGAAAAAGAATAAGGATAATGATTAATTTTATTGTTTAAAATAAGATTAGAAATTAAAGATAAAGGTTAGTTCTGGTAATGCGATTGCATTGTGAAAGAAAAGGTGTGGAATGGATCAGAAACAGTTGATCATGTAGCATGTAATTATTGGTGTGCACTGCAAGGTTCTGGAGTCATCAAAATCATAATAAATTTGGCCGAGTCTTGGTAAAGTAACAAGCACTGTACACAGAAAGCTATATATGGGATATATTGGATAACACACATGGTGTCGGGGCTAGTTCTACCTTGATTTCCTTGTCTTTCTTTGCTCATTACTCAGCCAGTATACATTTTCTTCCAAAATTGTTTGGCACATGTCATTTATTTGTAATCTTGAACATTCAGTGTAAGTTTCGTTTGATTCTGTGAGAATTTTTTTTTTTTTTTTTACCAGAACTGGAGTTTATCTTTAAGTTTGATTATCATAAAATAAAAGTTAATAGTATTATAATTATGCCGGACCTTCGTTATTCAAGAAGCAATTATTATTATTAAAAAAAACATTTTAAAAATAAATTTTGTTATTACATTTACTTTTACTTTTTGTTTGTTTAATATTTATATATATTTTCTTTTTGTTCAAGTTGGTATGTTGTGTCTTTTTGCGTCGGTTTGACCTGTAGTCTAATAACACACGAGTCGCTATCTGCCGAGAGCTAGGACGGGGATTGTAGTTGAGCTTTTCCAAAGGGCCGTCGGAAAATATTGATCGAAAGTCTTCAAAACTCTTAAAAGCCTCGAGTTTTCGACGATCATAAATGCATAGTCTGCCATATTCTCTACTAGATAATTGAATTCATCATAGATCCCAAAGTCAGGAATATCGTCAAACATAAGGGAGGTTTGTAACTATAGTTCACTAAATGAAAATCCTGCCCGTTGTGATTAGCCCACACACACTCACGTCTACTGAGTGACACGGGCCCCGTAGGTCAGGGGCTATGGGCAGGCTAATGTACGCCACCACGGAAGCTAATTTAACGAGTCTTTTCTCGGGTGTATACCGTGGTCAAAACTCCTCTTTTTCTAAGAAAATATTGCAGCTGCCTGAAACTCAGCTTGTTGAATGGCAAGTTGCAAGACATTTCCGGCCAAAACGGAAATTTATATATATATAAACTCAGTTTTGATAGAAAGATATGAATGAAATTTAACAGCAAGAACCGACAGTCTAATACAAGATGCACAGATTCAATATAGCGGTACGGCAAAGCTTGACCGACCTAGTTACTACAGCAACCGCGCATTACGTAATCGCCGAAACTGGCCCATTGATTAGATTTTAGGGTCATGAGGTCAAAGGTCAAAAGTCATGGGGCCTATTATGTATTTTGGTTTGTAAAATCGCTCTGTGGCGGAGGCATTATTTTCGACTGCGCGCGGTCTAAGTTCCAGGCCTATATGATAGAATCCTATGAAAAGAGAAAGAGAGAGAGAGAGAGAAAGAAAGAAAAGAGTCCTCCAACTAAAAACAAAATAATAAATATAATGATAATGATATTAATTGTTTAAAAAAAAAAGAACAAGAAAAGAACAAAGAAAGGATCAAATGATCATGAGTCGTAGCAGTTAGTAGTCTATGAGCAAAGAATTAATTTGGGTATTGGATTCATGTCTGCAAAAGAGCATAGTGGACAGAGTGTTGGTCTTTGAAAGGATTAACCTTGGTTTAGTGCTTGTAAAAGGTATTCTTTTTAATTACTCAGTCTCTCAGATAGGACTTAAAGCTGTTGATTCCTCAGAGCTTCAGAGAATAATAATATACATACTTCATTAGCTAATCGTTACATGATCCAAGCTTGAATTATTAAGGCGTATACAGCTGAATTGGCAGTGACGTGAGGGCAATTGTTCTGATATGTTCATTTGATAGTTCTGTTGTGGGAAGAGCATTGTGTAGTAAAACTACCTTACATCAAATAATAAATCTGCTTACCGTAATATTCCAAATTGTAGAAGAATCTGAGTACAAATCAAATTTTGATTTGTATGATGAAATTGCATCTACAGATGTTGCATTTTTTCCCCTTTCAATTTTTCAGAGCGTATGAAGCACTCAACGTCAAGCATGAAAATCTGTCGCTGATTCAACCCCGATTCGTGGTGCCCCTGCCTCCTCTTCAACCAGCGGTAAGTCTACATCACCACCATAATTTGAAACCAGTCATCATGTGGTTTTAGCTGATGATGAGAGCGACATGGTTTTAGGTGATGTTGATGGAGAGTGCTGATGATGATTAGCTGATGATGATGAGGTGGTTTTATGATGATGAGAGTGTGGTTTTAGCTGATGATGATGTGAAGGTAGGATGATGATTGGAGATGATGATGAGAGTGACATGGTTTTATGCTGATGGGGATGTGGTTTTAGATGATGATGATGTGAAGGTGGTTTTAGCTGATGATGAGAGTGACATGGTTTTAGCTGATGATGAGAGTGACATGGTTTTAGGTGATGTTGATGGAGATGCGGTTTTAGCTGATGATGATGGAGGTGTGGTTTTAGCTGATGATGATGTGAAGGTGGTTTTAGCTGATGATGAGAGTGACATGGTTTTAGCTGATGATGAGAGTGACATGGTTTTAGGTGATGTTGATGGGGATGTGGTTTTAGCTGATGATGATTGGATGTGGTTTTAGCTGATGATGAGAGTGACATGGTTTTAGGTGATGATGATGGGGATGTGGTTTTAGATGATGATGATGGGAGGTGGTTTTAGCTGATGATGAGAGTGACATGGTTTTAGGCGATGTTGATGGGGATGTGGTTTTAGATGATGATGATGGGAGGTGGTTTTAGCTGATGATGAGAGTGACATGGTTTTAGCTGATGATGGGAGGTGGTTTTAGCTGATGATGAGAGTGACATGGTTTCAGGTGATGTTGATGCGGATGTGGTTTTAGATGATGATGATGGGAGGTTGCTCTAGCTGATGATGATGTGGATGGGGTTTTAGCTGATGATGAGAGTGACATGGTTTTAGCTGATGATGATGGGATGTGGTTTTAGCTGATGATGAGAGTGACATGGTTTTAGGTGATGTTGATGGGGATGTGGTTTTAGCTGATGATGATGGGATGTGGTTTTAGCTGATGATGAGAGCGAGGTGGTTTTAGCTGATGATGAGAGTGACATGGTTTTAGCTGATGTTGATGGGGATGTGGTTTTAGCTGATGATGATGGGAGGTGGTTTTAGCCGATGATGATGTAGATGTGGTTTTAGCTGATGATGAGAGTGACATGGTTCTAGCTGATATTGATCGGGATGTGGTTTTAGCTGATGATGAGAGTTACATGTTTTTAGCTGATGATGTGGGGGATTTGGTTTTAGATGATGGTGGTGATGTTTTTTAATTGGTCCTACACGAAAAGGCCAAGGCCCGACATGTCAAAACTTCTGCTTTTGGGGGCTAATCACTCCAGGAGGCTGCAACCCTTGCCCTCCTTTTAAATATAGCTTTTTCATCTTCAAAACAAAGTAGTACCCGGAAGAAAAATATCTGGTCCTTTGAAATGCTTACAGCTTTGAACAACCCAAAAAAAATTCTGCCCATGGTGTATAACCTGTTCATAAGTTCTTCTAAACACAACTATTATATCAATCTCTTTACCCGAAGGGCATACAAAACCATTCCATGTCATATCAGAACAAAGGCCTTTTTATGTAGACTCTTTCCCCCGCAGGTACTGAAGATCATCTGGAGTATTATGTTCATGAGTGTGGAGACATCTTAAACCATCAGCATGAAGCTACCGGCAGACTCAACAGACGCTAAACACATTATGGAGCATGTCTTTGCACAGGTGTCGGAATTCAAGAAACTCAACCAAGTAAGATCATGAACAGGAAAATTCCCTTTTTGATGAGATATGGGATCATATTGTGTGAGAGCAGTATACCATGTTGGTAGTTTTCATTTAAAGATGACATATTTCTTTCTTGAAATGTTCCTGAACTTTCACTCTGCACTTATTCTTATGCCTCCGCTACAAAGTAGCCGGAGGCAGTATGTTTTCTGGTTGTCCGTCCATCCGAACGTCCCGTTCTCGTGATCGCTTTATCTCAAGAACCAATTATTGGATTACCACCAAACTTTGGTCATGTATGTATTTTGCAGAGCTAATGAAGTGAATAGATTTTGGGGTGACGAGGTCAAAGGTCACAGGGCTTATTACGTATGTATAAATAGCTTGTGATTGCGTTATCTCAAGAACCGATTAATAGATTCCCGCCAAACTTGGGTTCATCTGTACTCACTTATCTTTTTGTTTCAATTTCAATTTCATTTTGTTCATGTTTCCAACAAAACATTACGAAGCAATTATAAGCATTTAAAACAAATGTAGAAATACAATGCTTGTATATGTGTGAACACCTCATGAGATACTAAATTGAAAAAAGCAGTATGCTCAAAACACCCACGTTCACCACAGCATTTGGGAACAAGCTGTATGTTGCATGGAAATTGCAGCTTGTACCTACAGCTGATCTTTGTTATGTAATAGTATTTTTCACTGATAACATTCTTTATTACACTTCTGGGCTCCTATTCACTTTACTTTTCATGGTTTGTCTATTAGGAAAATAGTAAGATATTGAAATAAAGAGAGATGTAATATAATTTGTGTTCTCTTACTTTGTTCAGGCGACTGGAGTGCGTCTATACACAGGGAACGTTGGAGCAGATGATGTTGATGGTGTAGACATGGCTTACAGGGTAGTGGCTGATCATATTCGCACATTGACCATAGCTCTCTTGGACGGAAGCTGGCCAGATAATGTTGGAAGAGGGTGAGTCCTTTTGAATGGATTTTCTAGCCCTCATTTGATCCTATTACAGTCTAATGGTTGGCAATACCTTACATGCCATACATTAAAATTACCTAAAGTTTGGTTCTATTTAACAACACATGGGATACATAATACATGAGATGGAATTTAAAAAACCTTTTTAACACACATATTTATGCCTAAATAATAAGAATAATAATAATAATAATAATATTTTGATGTCTCTGCTACAGCCTAGCCGGAGGCATTATGTTTTCTGGTTGTCCGTCTGTCCGTACGTCTGTTCTTGTGATCACGTTTTCTCAAGAACCGATTAATGGATTCCCGCCAAACTTTGGGCATGTATGTATCTTGCAGAGCCGATGAAGTGATTAGATTTTGGGGTCACGAGGTCAATGGTCACATTGCTCATTATGTATGCAAAAACAGCTTGTGATCACACTATCACTAGAACCGATGGACGGATTAGCATCAAACTCTAAACTATGTATCTTGCAGAGCGGTCGGTCAAACAAAGAACTCGCGGTGCATAGCAGCCTACACTCTGTGTGCATACAATACATGACTGTGTTTGCAAGGTGTGATTGTATTATTTGCTTTCGCTATTATGAGAGAGAGAGAGAGAGAAGAAAAAGGAGGCAGTTTCAAACTTGAATAATAAATATCTTTGAGATGTGATTTTGTTCCACATACATTTGATCTTGAAACTGAGTACAAATTTGGACGTAGAAATGAAAGAAGTGATGAACTATTTTCCACCCGTTCGCACACCAGTCACCTCTGCTTGCAGAAGAACGTGTGGGCGCGTGCTTACCACGTGTACATGTACGTGTAGGCGCGATTCACATTTTCATAATGAAAACAAATTTACGGATTAAAAAAATTTTGTGAAACGCCTCGATACAAACTATTTCAAGGCAGACGTGAAACGGCTAACGAGAAGCAAGCACAGTGAACACAGAATCAATGTTATTAACAAAAGTAACGAGAAATAATGATAATAAAGGTAATAATGGTGACACTATAAGTTCTTTGTATTGATAAAACAATATTTATTAAAAATGTCATCCGTTGACGGAGAACTAGAATAAGAGGGATGAATAATGATAAACAATTAATTTTGAGTGGAAAAAATGAAGAAAAACAATGAGCAAGGAAGAAGAATGTGTGAAGTAAAGATTGATAAATAATGATAGAGCAATGGAAAAAAGGAGTAATAAAAGTAATAATAAAAAACACTTATGATAGCAAGGAAAAAGAATAAGGATAATGATTAATTTTATTGTTTAAAATAAGATTAGAAATTAAAGATAAAGGTTAGTTCTGGTAATGCGATTGCATTGTGAAAGAAAAGGTGTGGAATGGATCAGAAACAGTTGATCATGTAGCATGTAATTATTGGTGTGCACTGCAAGGTTCTGGAGTCATCAAAATCATAATAAATTTGGCCGAGTCTTGGTAAAGTAACAAGCACTGTACACAGAAAGCTATATATGGGATATATTGGATAACACACATGGTGTCGGGGCTAGTTCTACCTTGATTTCCTTGTCTTTCTTTGCTCATTACTCAGCCAGTATACATTTTCTTCCAAAATTGTTTGGCACATGTCATTTATTTGTAATCTTGAACATTCAGTGTAAGTTTCGTTTGATTCTGTGAGAATTTTTTTTTTTTTTTTTACCAGAACTGGAGTTTATCTTTAAGTTTGATTATCATAAAATAAAAGTTAATAGTATTATAATTATGCCGGACCTTCGTTATTCAAGAAGCAATTATTATTATTAAAAAAAACATTTTAAAAATAAATTTTGTTATTACATTTACTTTTACTTTTTGTTTGTTTAATATTTATATATATTTTCTTTTTGTTCAAGTTGGTATGTTGTGTCTTTTTGCGTCGGTTTGACCTGTAGTCTAATAACACACGAGTCGCTATCTGCCGAGAGCTAGGACGGGGATTGTAGTTGAGCTTTTCCAAAGGGCCGTCGGAAAATATTGATCGAAAGTCTTCAAAACTCTTAAAAGCCTCGAGTTTTCGACGATCATAAATGCATAGTCTGCCATATTCTCTACTAGATAATTGAATTCATCATAGATCCCAAAGTCAGGAATATCGTCAAACATAAGGGAGGTTTGTAACTATAGTTCACTAAATGAAAATCCTGCCCGTTGTGATTAGCCCACACACACTCACGTCTACTGAGTGACACGGGCCCCGTAGGTCAGGGGCTATGGGCAGGCTAATGTACGCCACCACGGAAGCTAATTTAACGAGTCTTTTCTCGGGTGTATACCGTGGTCAAAACTCCTCTTTTTCTAAGAAAATATTGCAGCTGCCTGAAACTCAGCTTGTTGAATGGCAAGTTGCAAGACATTTCCGGCCAAAACGGAAATTTATATATATATAAACTCAGTTTTGATAGAAAGATATGAATGAAATTTAACAGCAAGAACCGACAGTCTAATACAAGATGCACAGATTCAATATAGCGGTACGGCAAAGCTTGACCGACCTAGTTACTACAGCAACCGCGCATTACGTAATCGCCGAAACTGGCCCATTGATTAGATTTTAGGGTCATGAGGTCAAAGGTCAAAAGTCATGGGGCCTATTATGTATTTTGGTTTGTAAAATCGCTCTGTGGCGGAGGCATTATTTTCGACTGCGCGCGGTCTAAGTTCCAGGCCTATATGATAGAATCCTATGAAAAGAGAAAGAGAGAGAGAGAGAGAGAAAGAAAGAAAAGAGTCCTCCAACTAAAAACAAAATAATAAATATAATGATGATGATATTAATTGTTTAAAAAAAAAAGAACAAGAAAAGAACAAAGAAAGGATCAAATGATCATGAGTCGTAGCAGTTAGTAGTCTATGAGCAAAGAATTAATTTGGGTATTGGATTCATGTCTGCAAAAGAGCATAGTGGACAGAGTGTTGGTCTTTGAAAGGATTAACCTTGGTTTAGTGCTTGTATAAGGTATTCTTTTTAATTACTCAGTCTCTCAGATAGGACTTAAAGCTGTTGATTCCTCAGAGCTTCAGAGAATAAAAATATACATACTTCATTAGCTAATCGTTACATGATCCAAGCTTGAATTATTAAGGCGTATACAGCTGAATTGGCAGTGACGTGAGGGCAATTGTTCTGATATGTTCATTTGATAGTTCTGTTGTGGGAAGAGCATTGTGTAGTAAAACTACCTTACATCAAATAATAAATCTGCTTACCGTAATATTCCAAATTGTAGAAGAATCTGAGTACAAATCAAATTTTGATTTGTATGATGAAATTGCATCTACAGATGTTGCATTTTTTCCCCTTTCAATTTTTCAGAGCGTATGAAGCACTCACCTTCAAGCATGAAAATCTGTCGCTGATTCAACCCCGATTCGTGGTGCCCCTGCCTCCTCTTCAACCAGCGGTAAGTCTACATCACCACCATAATTTGAAACCAGTCATGTGGTTTTAGCTGATGATGAGAGCGACATGGTTTTAGGTGATGTTGATGGAGATGTGGTTTTAGCTGATGATGATGGGATGTGGTTTTAGCTGATGATGAGAGCGAGGTGGTTTTGGCTGATGATGAGAGCGACATGGTTTTAGGTGATGTTGATGGAGATGTGGTTTTAGCTGATGATGATGTGAAGGTGGTTTTAGCTGATGATGAGAGTGACATGGTTTTAGGCGATGTTGATGGGGATGTGGTTTTAGCTGATGATGATTGGATGTGGTTTTAGCTGATGATGAGAGTGACATGGTTTTAGGTGATGCTGATGGGGATGTGGTTTTAGATGATGATGTGAAGGTGGTTTTAGCGGATGATGAGAGTGACATGGTTTTAGCTGATGATGAGAGTGACATGGTTTTAGGTGATGTTGATGGAGATGCGGTTTTAGCTGATGATGATGGAGGTGTGGTTTTAGCTGATGATGATGTGAAGGTGGTTTTAGCTGATGATGAGAGTGACATGGTTTTAGCTGATGATGAGAGTGACATGGTTTTAGGTGATGTTGATGGGGATGTGGTTTTAGCTGATGATGATTGGATGTGGTTTTAGCTGATGATGAGAGTGACATGGTTTTAGGTGATGATGATGGGGATGTGGTTTTAGATGATGATGATGGGAGGTGGTTTTAGCTGATGATGAGAGTGACATGGTTTTAGGCGATGTTGATGGGGATGTGGTTTTAGATGATGATGATGGGAGGTGGTTTTAGCTGATGATGAGAGTGACATGGTTTTAGCTGATGATGGGAGGTGGTTTTAGCTGATGATGAGAGTGACATGGTTTCAGGTGATGTTGATGCGGATGTGGTTTTAGATGATGATGATGGGAGGTTGCTCTAGCTGATGATGATGTGGATGGGGTTTTAGCTGATGATGAGAGTGACATGGTTTTAGCTGATGATGATGGGGATGTGGTTTTAGCTGATGATGAGAGTGACATGGTTTTAGGTGATGTTGATGGGGATGTGGTTTTAGCTGATGATGATGGGATGTGGTTTTAGCTGATGATGAGAGCGAGGTGGTTTTAGCTGATGATGAGAGTGACATGGTTTTAGCTGATGTTGATGGGGATGTGGTTTTAGCTGATGATGATGGGAGGTGGTTTTAGCCGATGATGATGTAGATGTGGTTTTAGCTGATGATGAGAGTGACATGGTTCTAGCTGATATTGATCGGGATGTGGTTTTAGCTGATGATGAGAGTTACATGTTTTTAGCTGATGATGTGGGGGATTTGGTTTTAGATGATGGTGGTGATGTTTTTTAATTGGTCCTACACGAAAAGGCCAAGGCCCGACATGTCAAAACTTCTGCTTTTGGGGGCTAATCACTCCAGGAGGCTGCAACCCTTGCCCTCCTTTTAAATATAGCTTTTTCATCTTCAAAACAAAGTAGTACCCGGAAGAAAAATATCTGGTCCTTTGAAATGCTTACAGCTTTGAACAACCCAAAAAAAATTCTGCCCATGGTGTATAACCTGTTCATAAGTTCTTCTAAACACAACTATTATATCAATCTCTTTACCCGAAGGGCATACAAAACCATTCCATGTCATATCAGAACAAAGGCCTTTTTATGTAGACTCTTTCCCCCGCAGGTACTGAAGATCATCTGGAGTATTATGTTCATGAGTGTGGAGACATCTTAAACCATCAGCATGAAGCTACCGGCAGACTCAACAGACGCTAAACACATTATGGAGCATGTCTTTGCACAGGTGTCGGAATTCAAGAAACTCAACCAAGTAAGATCATGAACAGGAAAATTCCCTTTTTGATGAGATATGGGATCATATTGTGTGAGAGCAGTATACCATGTTGGTAGTTTTCATTTAAAGATGACATATTTCTTTCTTGAAATGTTCCTGAACTTTCACTCTGCACTTATTCTTATGCCTCCGCTACAAAGTAGCCGGAGGCAGTATGTTTTCTGGTTGTCCGTCCATCCGAACGTCCCGTTCTCGTGATCGCTTTATCTCAAGAACCAATTATTGGATTACCACCAAACTTTGGTCATGTATGTATTTTGCAGAGCTAATGAAGTGAATAGATTTTGGGGTGACGAGGTCAAAGGTCACAGGGCTTATTACGTATGTATAAATAGCTTGTGATTGCGTTATCTCAAGAACCGATTAATAGATTCCCGCCAAACTTGGGTTCATCTGTACTCACTTATCTTTTTGTTTCAATTTCAATTTCATTTTGTTCATGTTTCCAACAAAACATTACGAAGCAATTATAAGCATTTAAAACAAATGTAGAAATACAATGCTTGTATATGTGTGAACACCTCATGAGATACTAAATTGAAAAGTGCAGTATGCTCAAAACACCCACGTTCACCACAGCATTTGGGAACAAGCTGTATGTTGCATGGAAATTGCAGCTTGTACCTACAGCTGATCTTTGTTATGTAATAGTATTTTTCACTGATAACATTCTTTATTACACTTCTGGGCTCCTATTCACTTTACTTTTCATGGTTTGTCTATAGGAAAATAGTAAGATATTGAAATAAAGAGAGATGTAATATAATTTGTGTTCTCTTACTTTGTTCAGGCGACTGGAGTGCGTCTATACACAGGGAACGTTGGAGCAGATGATGTTGATGGTGTAGACATGGCTTACAGGGTAGTGGCTGATCATATTCGCACATTGACCATAGCTCTCTAGGACGGAAGCTGGCCAGATAAAGTTGGAAGAGGGTGAGTCCTTTTGAATGGATTTTCTAGCCCTCATTTGATCCTATTACAGTCTAATGGTTGGCAATACCTTACATGCCATACATTAAAATTACCTAAAGTTTGGTTCTATTTAACAATACATGGGATACACAATACATAAGATGGAATTTAAAAAACCTTTTTAACACACATATTTATGCCTTAATAATAATAATAATAATAATAATAATAATATTTTGATGTCTCTGCTACAGCCTAGCCGGAGGCGTTATGTTTTCTGGTTGTCTGTCTGTCCGTACGTCTGTTCTTGTGATCACGTTATCTCAAGAACCGATGAATGGATTCCCGCCAAACTTTGGGCATGTATGTATCTTGCAGAGCCGATGAAGTGATTAGATTTTGGGGTCACGAGGTCAAAGGTCACATTGTTCATTATGTATGCAAAAACAGCTTGTGATCACACTATCACTAGAACCGATGGACGGATTAGCATCAAACTCTAAACATGTATGTATCTTGCAGAGCCTAAGAAAAGGCCAGTTTCGTAATGTATTCACAGACCTTTAAATCGGAGGGTCGGTCAAACAAAGAATTCGCGGTGCATAGCAGCCTACACTCTGTGTGTAGGCGCGATTCACATTTTCATAATGAAAAAACAAATTTACGGATTAAAAAAAGTTTGTGAAACGCCTCGATACAAACTATTTCCAGGCGGATGAGAAATGGCTAACGAGAAGCAAGCACAGTGAACACAGAATCAATGTTATTAACAAAAGTAACGAGAAATAATGATAATAAAGGTAATAATGGTGACACTATAAGTTCTTTGTATTGATAAAACACATTTTCATAATGAGAACAAATTTACGGATTAAAAAATGTTGGTGAAACACCTCGATACAAACTATTTCAAGGCGGACGAGAAACGGCTAACGAGAAGCAAGCACAGTGAACACAGAATCAATGTTATTAACAAAAGTAACAAGAAATAATGATAATAAAGGTAATAATGGTGACACTATAAGTTCTTTGTATTGATAAAACAATATTTATTAAAAATGTCATCCGTTGTCAGAGAACTAGAATAAGAAGGATGAATAATGATAAACAATTAATTTTGAGCGGAAAAAATGAAGAAAAACAATGAGCAAGGAAGAAGAATGTGTGAAGTAAAGATTGATAAATAATGATAGAGCAATGGAAAAAAGGAGTAATAAAAGTAATAATAAAAAACACTTATGAAAGCAAGGAAAAAGAATAAGGATGATGAATAATTTTATTGTTTAACCCTAACCCTAATAAGATTCATAGAATCAGTCTTTTTTTTTATAATTGCTTCTAATTTAGTTATCCTTGGTCGATTTCCTTCGGGTTTTTTAAGGTGGACTCTTAGATAGTTGGGCTTTCATCTAACATGAGTATTGCGGCGGAATAACCTTGAACTTTAAAGGTGCCTCGGTGTAATTTTTGGGTCGCCGGTGTATGTCCTATACACTGTTTTGGAAAATGTCATTAGCTCACTCAATTCTTCATCGATTTTGTTCATTTTTTTTTTTAAATGAAAGCTATTGAGTTGCTTAATCTTCACAGATCTGCTTATGGAAAAGTGTTGAAAATGGTACTTTAGTCAAATTTACTTACCCTTTGGTACCTTTGCTGGTTCATAGGGTTCAATACCCCTATTAAACTCAAGGATTTTGCTAGATAGCGGTTGGGGCCACTAACTCCGAGGCCCTGATGGTTTTTTTCTTTAAACTAGCACTTTAAAAAATGATTTATTCATTTCTCCAAAGAATGAAGTAAAACTGAGACTAACAATTGACTAGATGAATTTTTGTTTGAGGTGATGAAAAGGTCGGACTAATCGAGGCCCTTATAAATTTAAATAAAATATGCACTGCTTAGTGCATCTTATCATGAGCATATCCTGAAAAAATTAGCAAAATTGGTTAATTATTTAATTAATTACAAGCAATTTCAAAAAAAAAGTTTAGGACCCTATTTCTCGAAATACTTGGGGGCCGCTTTAATTTTAACATTTAAACCCTATTTAACATTAAATATTCATTCGTTTCTTTGTTTTTAATCATAAAACCAAAATATTAGCAAACAAAAATATCCCCCGAAATACGAAAAATCTAGTATTCACCATAGGTTTGTACAGTGTAGGCCAAAAAATAGGTGCTCTACAAAAGTTCTTTAAAAAAACATTTTTACATTGAAGCCACAAAATATACCATACTCAAATTGATCTTTGATAATCCAGGCCTACTTTCCTGCAATTGGTTTTTTATTAATTGTTATGCTTTTTCCTTAAAAAGTGATACAAAAATTAATTTTTCCCATCAATTCCCGCCATTGGTACTTTTCTCACGTAGAGGTAGCTTCACACAATAACAAACGAATCAACGTAACAGTAGAAACTAAACAAACAAAAGTAGATTCATTCCAGCGGGCAGTCAGCTCTTATTATTCATTTAAATGGTGAGTTTTGAAATGTATTGTGCCCTATATTTATCTGACTGTCCATTTATACTAATTTAGACTTTGATCAATCCACTTTCTCTCGATAGGTCATGAAATTGTACACAACTTTGTGAGATATGCAACTTTGCGTGAACAACAAGCACTCCCCCCTAAACATAGGTAGGCTGTCCGCCGAAACTCCAGGCCTGGCATTAGGCCTCTGCCTGGTATGACTCTGACTGTGAAGCAGATAGATCTTATATCAATTAGTCTACTTGTTAGATGCCAAAAAGAATAATTGCAATAAGCCATAAGGTAAGTAGGACTACAATTTATTGTGTTATTGTGCTAATACTGAATGCCCATGATATCGCAGCTTCGGACGTCGGTACGTACAGTATCGGCATGTTCAAGATTCACCCCCTTATGGCTGTTGTTCTAGGCTTATTTTTTGTATTTCTCATTTCTTGGCATTGATACTGCACATACAGAATGCAAAGACATGCACGATAATAAAGAGAGCAATTATTGTGCAAATACTGAATCTCCATGATATTGCAGCGTCGGTACAGCACCAGCATGTTTAAGATTCACCCCCCTTATGTTTTGTATTTCTCATTTGTTGGCATTGTCACTTCACATATCAAATGCAAAGACATGTACGATAATAAAGATAGCTTTCCTGACCTAGTATTTGCAAGGAAAAATTCAAAAAAGGCATATGAAGGCTACGTTAATGCGCGAATACAGAATGTTCATGTTCAGCATCCGTATAGCATCGACATGTTGAAGATCCAGCCCCCCCTTATTTTTTGTATGTCGCATTTGTTGGCATTGACATTTACACATGAAATGTAAAGACATAAAACAGCCGTCCTGACCTAGCATATACAAGGAAAAATTCAAAAAAGGTCTCTGATTGCTGCGTTATGGTGCATAAAAGTTGTCAGCGTCACTAAACATAGGACATTTTCTAATCCCCCCCCCCTCTTCCCCCTTATTGTGCTCCAATTCTTTGTTCTACCCAATTTGATGTTTCTAGTGGTCAATTCATTAGAAATGAGTGGAGCCTAAGCCTACTACTTAGGCCAAAGCTAAGTAGGCCTAGCAGAAACTCACGCCGTTCCGATTGAGTACATATAACGGAGTGACACCTGAAATCAGAGTAATCACGTGATCGGAATATTTTACCTCGCCACCAAAATCCCAGGTGGACCTAGCAGTCCCACATTACTTTGCGGTGCCTTAGGCATGATCGATGCAAACTTATTCACAACCTTTTAACCCACTAAATCGGAGCAGTGTATTTATCCGGATAATACGCGTAGATAGACACTGCCCATTCCCTGGTACTATATGCTATTTTCCGGAAAACAAATGAACCGGATAATTTCAGTAAAACTAATAGAAACATGCTGTTTGTGTTCCTTCTTTCTATCACAATCTCTTTCTTTCATCGTGTCTTCATTTCCTTCTCAATTGTCATTGTCCCTTATATTACATTCTCTATCTCAAATGTCACTTTTCCTCATATTGTTTTCCTCAGAAAATTCATGCAAAGGACCTGGAAAATCTGCAGAAATAAACCCTAGGACTACTTTGACCAACGGAGGTTGGTGGTTTGGCAGTTGAAGGCTTAAGAAACTTGCTGACCATCCTGGGTACAACCCCAACAGTCAATGCCTCTAGCTACGACAGGCACATAGCCACTTTTAAATCGATATCTCAAGAGGTTAGCCACCAGCCTGGTTCAACATACTTTTGTCCACGGTGTTTTGTCTTCTTCGTTAAATGTCTTTATTGGGGTACCTCAGGAGATCAATACTGGGTCCCCTGCTATTTCTTTTATACATAAATGATCTTTGTAAATCATCTAACTTATTAACCTTCTATCAATTTGCTGATGACACTAGTATATTTTTTTCATCTAAAGATTTGAATAATACTGTCCGCGTTCTAAATAATGAGCTTAAGAATATATCTGACTGGTTAAAAGCAAATAAATTGTCCCTGAATGTTGACAAAACTAAATGTGTTTATTTTCGAAAAACTAAATATAATATAGGATCTAAAATTTCCAAAATTTCCGATATAGCTAGCAATAACGGTCCTTTAATTAATAACGATAATATTCCCATTTATATTAATAATAAACTTATTCAATTAAGTAATTCCGTTAACTTCTTGGGTGTCGTATTAGATAATTGCTTGGGATTTAAAGACCATATCACAAATGTTTTACATAAGATCAGCAGAAATGCTGGCTTGATAAATAAGCTAAAATATAGTTTGTTACCCGAAAATTTGATAACTTTATATCATTCCATTATTTTTCCTTATTTGAAATATTGTAATATTGTATGGGCCACTAATGCAACACAAACTGAATTAGACTCACTATTTAAAGTTCAAAAGAAATGTTTAAGAATAGCTACCAATTCTCATTATCTAGCACCTTCCGCACCTTTGTTTAAGAAGCTATCGTTATTAAATATATATGATATAAATAAGCAAGAAATCGCAACATTCATGTACAAATATAAAAACAAGTTATTACCTGCCCCCTTTTCAGACCTCTTTCAATATAATAGTCAAATTCATAATTATAATACACGGCTTTCCAACAAATTTCATTTATGGTCTGTTAAGTCTAGTTATGAAGCTAAATCAATGAGTTATCTAGGTCCTAAACAGTGGAATATGATTCCCCAAGTAATAACGAAATCACAATTCATATCTTCCTTTAGAAAACAATATAAAATCTTACTACTAAATAATTATTAATCAGCACAGTTGTTGATTTTTTTTTCATCTAATTTTATATCTGAACCCTCTTTCATTGTTATCTTGTTTTCCTTTCCTTTCTTTTCCCCCTTTATATATTGTTTTTCTTCTCTCTATTTTACTTTCTCTTGTTATATAGGTAGTTGAAGTGTTTGTACTTTGCTTATTTTACTTAATTTATTGTTATGTGCTTATAATATGTTATACATGTATTTCTTTTTGTATTGTTCTTCATTCTTTAAAGGGCGATCCAACTTCACAGGTTCTCGCAACCTTCATGGAAAGCCCCGCATATAACCTTTGTAAACATAGTTAAAATTTACTGTTACTTTGTATATTTTGATTTTTATATTGCGAAATAAAATTGAATTGAATTGAATTGAATTGAATTGGTATTTTATTCATTACATTTTTGTTTTTTTCCCAAATTTACTCTAAAATAGTATGCTTAAGTTGTGGTCAATAGACAGTAAAGAACATGTTCATCAATTTCTCTTGTCATAATGGTTGAAATGCCTGAGTGAACTTTAAATGAACTTGTATTTATTACATAATCTTGTTCTTTTGTAACTTTGCAGACCAGCGAGGAACACATGAAGAGGGCGGCGGTATGCCTACAACAAAGGGCAATGGACAAGGACCCGACCATCAGGAAAAATGACCGTGTGGACATCACTTCTACTACCAACCTATCCATTCTTCTTTACTACTTCTACTACCTCCACTACCACCCTATCCGTTCTCCCTTGCTCCCCTCCCTCTTTCATTCTCGCCAGATCTGGCAATCATTAAATATCTTAATATTTCTTACCCCTCCCTCATCTGTCTTTCTTTTCTCCCTCCTGAATGGACAATGCTCTTCCTTACTTTTATTACTACCTCTGCTACCACCTTACTCTACAACCTTACCTCTGCTCTTCCTTACTACTTCTACTTCCACTTTCCCTCATCATGTTCCCTCTTTCTATAACCATCTCCACGTTCTCTGTCTTTATTATCACCCCCCCCCCTTTTTTTATTGCATTCTCTATCTCAACTGCCACTTTCCATCATATTGGTTTCACTCACTATCTCAATTTCAACTTTCCCTGTGTTTTTGTTCTCTCTCTCTCTCTCTCTCAAGTGCATTTCATCTCATATTTCATACTACCCTACCTGCTCTTCCTTACTACTTCTACTTCCACTTCCACTTTCCCTCATCATGTTCCCTCTTTCTATCTCCATCTCCATTTATCTCATATTTCATACTGTGAAATTGAAATTAAGGACTGGAAATACAAGCAATGATGTGAAACGTTCGTTACGGTGTAAGAAAATTACATTTAATCTTTTGCATGCCTAAAGTGCGAATTCTTTTAAATATATATGACACAAACTGCTATTATTAATGAACTTTAATATATAGCTTCATGTTTGCTGTAAACTCTTTTTTATTTTACTTGGGTGGGTTCGAGTCCCGCGAAGCTGTTTATAACACGAGAGCTTTCATGGTGCCAGTACAATATAATTGGGTTATATACACATCCCCTTATACAATATACACACACACACTTGTTAGCCTCATCGGGTATAGGGCTAATACTTATGCACTGTAATTTAAAATTATACATTTTTTAAAGCTTCCAATAGAAGTACAGATTTCCTCATAGTTTCAGGTAAATCGTTCCAAAGCTTAGGACCGGTAAAACAGGTATTCTTTTGAAAAATATGTTTATAGTGTACAGGAATATATATTTAATATAATACACATAAGGAAAATCGAGCATATGACAGTGCGGCATGTCACTAATTGAAATACAGCCCATGTTATGCATATAACTGTTCAATGAAACAATACAAAAGTTCAAAAATGCCATAACTCAATCATTTTTACGTCCAATGTAGATAATTATGATTTTTTGATTTGACTCGACTCATATTTAGTTTGGACATAATACAACACTATCTCCTATGTCCTGCTCAAAGTGTTTTATTAATGACAATTGAAGGTTTTTATTGATACAATTGTACCTTCATATTCATAAAAAGCATATCATAATCATCATGTAAAAAGTAAAAGAACAAGAATAGAAAGAAGAATCACAAAAACTACTTTTACAAAACATTCAGACTTACTGACAAGTGTGCACTGCCATTTCTTAAACATTTCATTAGAATATCAATAGCTGGATAGAAAAAGGTGACATGCCTTGCATAGGCGTTGTGAGGGATATTACATTAAGAAAGCAACTGAGAAAAAAGAAAGATGAATGAAATAGTTGATGATCTACATAGACGTAGATTTTGTTTTAGCTTATATTGCATTGCGAACTCTGTCCCTCACTTGGAGAAATGATCGGTTAGAGAGGCAACGTGCTACTTTTTTATTTTGTTTAACTATGTCCCTCACCACGCCTATGCGAGGCATGTCACCCCTTTCTATCCAGCTCTGGAAAAGCTTCTGGACTGCCTCCTTCTCTTCCTGGGTGAACTTTACCCTCGCCGTTTGATGGCTGGTACTTGAGAACTATCATGGAGAAAGAGAGGAGAGGGGGATGAAAGACATCAAGAAATGAATTGTGAAACAATTTGACCCATAATAACAGAGTTGCACATATAAAAAATAACACCAATAAGCAAGTATTTCAGACAATTCAGCAAATTGTTGTATAGATGTCTAACACTATTCCATCACAGTTTTAAAATGACATTGATGAAATTCTGAACAAGTCTGACATTACCCGTCAAAGAAAGGAGCTAAAAGGGCTGCGATTGCCATTTAAATGCGTTACATACCAGGGATGATGATCCAGCTGACACACTAACGGATGGGGTGTCTGATAGTGGCGTGACTGGGTGCTCCTTATGTTGGGGATGTTTGTTGCACTTCACCCTCGCTGGTGGATCGCTGGTACTTGGCAACTATCATGGAGAAAGAGAGGGGAGGGGGATGAAAAACATCAAGAAATGAATTGTGAAACAATTTGACCCATAATAACAGAGTTGCACATTTAAAAAATAACACCAATAAGCAAGTATTTCAGACAATTCAGCAAATTATTGTATAGATGTCTAACACTATTCCATCACAGTTTTAAAATGACAATGATGAAATTTTGAACAAGTCTGACATTACCCGTCAAAGAAAGGAGCTAAAAGGGCTGCAATTGCCATTTAAATGCGTTACATACCAGGGATGATGATCCAGCTGACACACTAATGGATGATGTGTCTGGTAGTAGCGGGATTGGATGCTCATTATGTTGGGGTTGTTTTTTGCACTTCACCCTCAGTTTTTTGGTGCTGGTGGTCGAGCACTATTATGGAGAAAGAGAAGGGGGGGGGGGTGAAATAAATAAAGAAAAGAATTGTGAATTGCACATTTTAAAAAAAGCATTAATAAGCAAATATTTCAAACAATTCAGCAAATTATTGTATAGATGTCTAACCCTATTCCATCACAATTTTGAAATGTCATTAATGAATCTTTAACCAAGTCTGAAAATACCGTCAAGGAAAGCAACTAAAAGGTCTGCAATTGTCATTCAAATGTGTTTCATAGAATAGAATAGAATTTATTGACTCATTCGACCCCCTTCTGGGGTATGAGAGTACAACACATGTACATGTCATGATAATGATACATAATAAAGAATACAAACATAGTTTAATAATACAAAGAATACAGAATACAACAAAACAACAATATAAAAGTATAACGATAAATAGGAATGATCTAAACCTAGCCTATGCTAAACATAAATACAATATTATACAATATGGCAAGCATACCAGGGATGAAGATCCTGTGGACCCACAAACCGATGGTGGGCGTGGCAGTTGCAGGACTGGGTGCTCCTTATTTCTTGTAGCAGAGCGTAGTTTTCTGCCTGACTGCATCTGTAATGCGAAAATGAGGCAAAGAAACCCTGCTATTAAAAGGTATGTCATTTTGTGTTTATAATCTATTTAACCTTATTTGAATAAACATGTGGATGTTGACATGTATCAAAGATAATATCAAATGAGAGATATGGAAGCGGAAGTTTGGACAGCAAATAAATTGCGATATAGAGACATGTATCAAATGTATTCAGAGTTACTTATTTTTCATGCTGAATTAATTTTGACGGGAAACAATAACAATTGTTGGGGGAAGGAGAAAGCTAATTATTTCGACTGTCTGATTTAATTGTATGATTGCGACTCTAGTCCACTGCAGCAGGCAAAGGGTTGGCAATATAGTCAAGAAAATATGATAATTGCATAACATAGCGTTTACCATCTTACATGGAGCAGGGAGTTCCAATGGACTGGATGGAGGAGCAGCTGGGAATTCCAAGGGACTGGATGGACGAGCAGCTGGACGTTCCAAGAGACTGGATGGAGGAGCAGCTGGACGTTCCAAGGGACTGGATGGAGGAGCAGCTGGGAGTTCCAAGGGATTGGATGGAGGAGCAGCTGGGAGTTCCAATGGACTGGATGGAGGAGCAGCTGGGAGTTCCAAGGGATTGGATGGAGGAGCAGCTGGGAGTTCCAAGGGACTGGACGCAATGTTCCCGGAACCACCGGTAGGTGGCGCACCACACGACTAGGGCTTTAACGGAACACTCTCAATTACTTTCGTAGTAAAATACCAGGTAATGACCTAAAATGCCCCAGATATGTATGTTGTAGCCAACATTTTGACATTGTATCGCATGGAACGCCTTAGAATGGTTTCAAGAGGGTTAAAACGCTGAAAAACATACGAAACAGTATATATCTGAGCCAAAAAGTGAATTTTATTATTTTATTTAGTAGACCTGTGACGTCACACAGAACGTCATCTTCGGCATCATAGGTCTTGGAAGCAACGTCTTCGGAAGCATTCGGATGCTCGGAAATGTCACCCAAACAAAGTTGAAAGTTCAAGATGATCATGAGGCAAATGGCATCAATGATGGGTAAGTGAAAATGTGATTTTTTTTCTTCAAATTGATACAAAATTTGAGCGATTTTGAGCGAGTAACTTTTTAACTGTTTAGATTTTACACTACTCGAATCATTATTCGCTACGCAAAAGTGTAAATGTAGAAATCGCGTGAACTTGACCAGATTATTTAGCATGTTGGCGCTTAAAATTAAAATGCCATGCACATGGTCATGGGAAAGTGTACCCACGTAGATCTAGTCCCTGCACATGTTATGATTCTTATTTCGCGGCGCTGAAAATCGACCTGTATTGCCGGACACCGTGTTATGTCTATGGCGAAACGCAAAAGTCGCGAGTCGCGCGAGAAGAAAATGCACGGAAAACAAATAGCAAAATGACATTCTCAAAACAAACTTGACAGCCATTCACTTTGCACGGGCATTAGGAAAATTGGATTATTTCATGAAAAAGGCATGTATTTGTCACTCATACGTTAGGCTAAGTTAGATGTGTAAATTTTCTAAGTTTTTTTTTGTGTACTTACGATGCGTCATACATTTCTTGATCACCCCACTCGACTTGCACATTCGATACGTGTAGTCCCGCGCGTAGAACGCGCGTCCGGTAATTCAATAGTGTCCGGTAATACCATGCGTGGGCATACGTGTTCATCTCGTATGACGGGGGCCCTATTACCATTACCGTCCACAATTATTTCAGGTCCTCAATTTGTCGATCAAAACATGAAATCTACGAGTAGGTTTATGATAAAAAAGAAACTTCTGTATTTTTATTCCCTGGAATGGCACTCCGTATCAACCTACCAGTTTGTTTATATCGCTGTTCAAAATGACCCTAACCTTGTCGTAGTCTTCTTTTTCGTGCTCACAAAATCGGTATCAGAGGTATTTCCGGACGGGTTGAGTACCCGGACACCGCGCATTAGAACGGCGCAATACGCGTCGGGGAAACATCGCGCGCAGTTGCAAACAGACACCCGGTGACGCAGCTGTTATTTTTCTTCGCATAAATCCTGATTTTGCATGGAAATTCTAATGCTTATTATTTGGAAATTACGTTTTTTGGCAACATATTCTGAAAAAACGCGCAAAATTAAGTGTCCGGTTACTCAATTATGTTTTTTGGCAACATATTCTGAAAAAACGCACAAAATTAAGTGTCCGGTTACTCAAGTCCCCACCCTACCTATTACCGTCCAAAATTTCCTTGAGG